GAGATCTCAGCAGCGTAGCAATGTATCATGTACGTTAACATCCCCCCCCACCCCACCCCACCCCAAAATCGAGATATTCAAAAACGCGCGTTTTACGGGAACGGTTTTCGGTCCGCAGGCATAAACAAGTCCCAGTCCGGGATGGTTTGTGACATCTGGCTGCATGGTGATAGTTCACCAACCTGAATTTTTGGTCATTTGGGAAGAGTAACCATTCCAGTCACAGATATTAGGTCATTAAAATTCGTCCACATGATTTTTTCGGTCAAAATTGAGTACCCCAATTAAATTGGATGGTTCATACCCAAAAAATCGCCAAAAAAATCTGTGGTCCCCCAAATCTGGTACTTTGACAGATACCCAAATGGAGGTTTCCGACAAAAAGATACCCCAAATCATCGATTCTGTATTCGGATTCTCCATGAAATAACCCATCCAGCTATTGGGGTACCAAAAAACTATGCAAAGCTCCAAGTCATTCCATTGGATGCTCCCATTGTTGAAACACATCATTCTTCCATAAATATATCATGTTAAACATATACCATCCTTTTACCATAAACATATCATGTTATGAAGTTGTAAACATATCATAATAAGTGAACATGCCATCATTTTACCATCACTTATACCATTTTACCACACAAAATCACCCAATGATGGTAAAATGATGGTATATTTATGATGGTAAATCTGGTACAATACCAAATGACCCACATCAAAATGGGTATAAATTACTAAATCACCAGATGGGTATATATATATGTATATATCAATTATATATCTATATATCATACATATATGTGATATAGATATATCATTGATAATGTCAACCCTGGATTAATAACCCCCAAACGATTGTTTAATTGGGAGGGTACCATTTAAGTATCAGATGAAATGACTATTGGAGGAGTACCCCCCCTAATTAATAAACCGTGGTTTATTAATCCGGGGTTGACATTATATGTATGTATATATCAATTATATATGTATATATATATATCATCATACATATCATACATATATGTGATATAGATATATCATTGATATATATATATACATATAATGTATCATAAGAAATCACCTGACTTTTTCTTTCATCTGGATGCCTCGGCCACCATGCGCACGGCCGCGGCTTCATCCACAAAGGCACCCAGATCGTGCAGCAGGACTTGCGCCTGTGGGTTGTAGTCCCCAGTTACCCGGGATTTCCATAAGATTTCCATAGGATTTACCGCACTTAGAACATGGATCTACTATGAAATATGGTGGATTTTATGGGTTTTACCATGGTTTTACCATGGTTTTACCATGGTTTTACCATGAAAAGATAGGGATTCAGCTGGAGAAGGTTCTCAGCTTTCAACGTTCTTCCACGCTATTCCTCCTTGGCCCCGTCGTCCGGTCGCCTCCCGAGCCACCAAAATGCACTGGGTGAAGTCTTTCCTTGGCGATGCAAAGGATGGAGGAGTCAGCCACATGGCCCAAACTGATTGATTTCTGTTTCAATAGAGCCGTGTAGCATCATCACATGAATGAAACGATATCTCTTTTGAACTGTCAGCTTGCAGGTCCTCGAATCTGTCAAATCATGCACATATCAATTGGATATAGGTATGTATCTCTATATATGTATACAAATCTCAAACATGGGAAGACTCCCCATGGTTCCCCCTTTTTTCTCGGGAATATATGGATAGCCATAGCTAGCCAAAATCGCTCCCTCCGTTCACCACTGGATAGCCATGGATCAAGTTGTAATGCACGTTGGCCACCATGAGCCGTGCGATGGCCTGGTGTTGGGAAACCACCGAAACCAAGCTGAACCATATGATGAACATATGGCTTTGATAAGGCACTCCGAAGTTTCATAAATTTGACAGTTACTCAGCATTTTCTCCATTCCAATGGCAATTTTGAGGTATCCACCATTTCACATAAACCCAGATATTCGGCCGGTCTTTGGCTCAACTAGCCCATCGTATCGTGTAAATTACCATGGGCTATACTCGAAAATGGCATTGATTTCAATGGGGGAGATGATGATAAACCACTGCGAATCAATACCCCCCAAAAATAGTATGCTTTGAAACTTGAACCATTTCGTTGCCACCCAAAACATAAATGAAACACATGACCGTGCGATTCTCCAACACCATTTAACACCCCTCCTATGTTGTTAGGAAACTCAAATCGTAGCTCAGCAGGGCTCTTCATTTAGGGAATATGAAAGGATGTCAACCAAATAACTATCGGACTAATCAGTGGATACATCCAACTTTTTTCGAATTTCTAGATTTATGAAATTTATGAATACTGAACTGAATAGATTTGAATGGTATTTTTATATCCAACTACCCTCTGGTAAATTAACTTGTTGACCCTGAAAATCACCAATTCTTAGAGGAAACTAATCTTCCAACCCCGTTTTCTACCAGGGTCCAACTGTTAATTTACTGGAGGCTTACTATACTAACTATGGATATCCACTGATGTTCACCATATGCGCCGCGTTGCGCACCACACGTTTCGCAACGCGCGCCTCGCGCTTGCCATCGCTGCGGTCGTTGCAGAGATTCACCAACTCCTGTGCCACCTTCATGGCCTGGATGTGCCATCAAAAACCCACGAACGCTGAAGAACATCCGAAGGTTTGAAGGATGGTTTTAATGTATTAAAATGTATGGAAAAACCCATCAAAGAATGAGGTATTGAATGTATTGAACTCAAACATGGTGTTTTAGCAATTTTAGCATTTAACACACCCAACATGGTGATTTAGCCATGATCACATGGTGACTGAAGCGTCAAACATGAGTATTTAATCACACATGATGGTGTTTGACCATTTAAACATGTGAATTTGATGATCAATATGTAATGTAATTTCAGCCATCAAACATGGTGATTGATCATCAAGAATGGTGATTTAACCATCAAAACATAGATCTAAACATAAACATCGGGGATCGAGTAATCACACATGGGATCAAAGCCGTCAAAGATGTTGATTTCAGCACAAGATATCAGGATCGAAATAGAATGTCAGCCTGGGATGAATGTTGAACCCTGGTCTGAAGAATTGCAGGGGTATCATTTTTATGGCTAGCACTTTTTGGGACCCCCACAAATTAGTCAACTCTTGGATTTCTTGATTCATGGTTGACATGACACTCTCCTGATCCGAAACTATCATTTTGACTGGATACTTGGTGGCTCATCCCACTTAGTAAGTGGATTATAACCCCAGTTGTAAGTGGGATAACTAGGGTTAATCCACTTATAACTGGGGTTATAACCCACTTACTAAGTGGGATGAGCCACCAAGTAGATCATCTGCGCATGAGGATTTCCAGGGATTTTCCAGTGCGAGGTCTATAACTCGCGCGGCAGTTGAAATAGTCCTTTCATGGCACATCAGAATCAGCAAACAAGCAATGATGGCGCATGGTCAGTGTGTAACTGGTTGGTGGTTTTAACCATCTTGAAAAATATGAGTTCGTCAATGGGAAGGACTATCCCATATATGAAATGGAAAATAATCCAAATGTTTGAAACCACCAACCAGGTAATCATTTGACAGGTTATCATTCTTTACCAGCTTTGCATTTTGTCAGTCATTCGTGTTTGGGCTTCATCTGACCTTAGGATAATTTGCTCAGAATTCTGGGGCCCAAACTCATGTCTTTTATCGCGAACATGGGAACACATAGGAACCCATAAATCATAGCAGCGGAACCGGTTGGAGGTTGGCCTACTGAGATCAAACCATGCTCACCGGCTGTCGCCTCCTCTTGATCCCCTTGCTGAAGGAAGGCCTACGACCACCATCAGGGCTGATCAACAGGAAATATCTCGGCTGAATGAAGGATACCTTATCTATGGAAACTCTTAGCTGGATACAGATGCTACTTTTTGTGGGATCACCACAATTTTTATGTAAGCATTGGGTCATTGATCTGCAGTTTCAATGAGTACTTTTCCTGCTTAAGCACCTTTCAAGAAGTATGGCATTGAACATGTATCCAGGGTCCCGAAAGGTTGGAAAATAAAGGAACCTTCACAAAGTGTTCCCGGTGTGGCCAGCCGATACTAACAATTTACCAAATGGAATCAAATTCTCAGGACAAATCCTGTTCATAATCAATCACCATCTCATCATAGCATTTTATCTCATCCATTCCATTCTATCATATCAACCGGTTATGTCTAACATATGAGTTTTATATATGATATGGAGGTTTCCTAAAATCGGGGTACCCCCAAATCATCCAAGTCATGGATGACCATTTTAGTATTGGCACCCATGATGACTTGGGGATCCCCCATTCTAAGAACCTGCCATTTTTGATCCTATTAATCACTGGTATATTAAATGGATTTACTGTAAATGGCTCATTACAGTTATCCCATAGTTGTCCACTATTATCCTGGTTGGTGGTTTCAACCCCTCTGAAAAATATGAAAGTCAATGGGAAGGATTATCCCATATATGAAATGGAAAATAACACGTTCGCTGCAACCTGGACGTTTGCCCGGAGTTGATGTCCACAATCATTGTTCAGAGGGGGGGGCTAATTTTGATCCCTCATGAAGATAAAGTTGATGTTATTTCCCCAATCAACATATTGTTCTGAGGAGGTGGCAAATTTTGATCCCTCATGAAGATAAAGTTGATGTTGTTAGCCCGTTCAACATATTGGTCATAGGGGGTGGCGGATTTTGTTTCCTCATGGTGATCAGGTGATATTGTTTCCTAATGAAGATAAGTGTATTCAAGGTATCTTTCACATGCCACCGTGGCCTAATTTCCCCCTTTGGCCTTGCTTGGATTCGCAACTTCCCAGCAACACAGAATTGTCTCTGTTATGACACAATGATGAGTCTGGGCGAACGATAAGGTTGCGGACAACATGTTTGAAACCACCAACCAGTATCCCATGATCTTCCCATCATGGGGTGGTTTTGCATCAACCCCATCCACTTTCGCGCCACGTTTTGTCGGTCTCAGCTCACGAACAGCGCACGCCCAGCCGCCGCAGGGCATCCTTCCACTCGTCGCGCTCACGGCTGTGACGTGCCTTTAGGGCCGTGGGGCCCAACTGACCTTCACTCTGAAGCACCAAACAAGCCTCAGTTTCATCAAGCAAACATAAGTAAACAAAGGGTAAACAAAGGGATATCAAGGGATTTCAAGCAACAGAAAACGGGGGATGAGTAAACACATAATTGAACATCAGTTTGAACGTCAGCAAAACACAATAAACTGTTGGGGAATCTAAAGATCAAACTGATCAAACAACAAAAATGGGGGGGATAGGGACCCCATGAAGTCTCTGATTGTTCAGCCATCTTGCCACACTATACCTTTTGGCGGAAAGCCACCTCTATGAACATCTTCCCATACTTGAGGTCAAACGAATGGGCTTCCAGTTCCTGAAATCTAGACAGTCGACATGTCCTGCAGTCAGAGAGGCTTCTCCGGATTTGCCCCGCACCGAACGCACCTCCATGGATACCATGGACACCGGGTGGATACAACAAATTCTTGGAGACTCGATGGGTCGATGAACTTAACATGATTCACCTATCAATTTCGCTGGGAAACTCTGATTGTAGCTCCAACTGGCTCCGAACCGCTCCCTCCGTTCACCACTGGAGAGTCACTGAGAGGTGAATGGAACTCTTCATTGACAACAGCCCCTATGCCCTATGCTGTCCTAAAATGTCATCCACATGTGTGCCATGGTCAAACAAAACATGTTATTTTTTTTGTGGTATGGGCATCCATCCCGTGGAGTTCGGGGAAAAATCAATCCCTCTCAATGGATTAAGTGTCTGAATTCCGCAACAGCAACAGCTGGAAAATGATCTACCCTCTGGTAATTTAACATAGCTATTGAAAATCACCATTTTTAATGGGAAAATCCACTATTTCTATGGTCATTTTCAATAGCTACGTTAAATTACCAGAGGGTAAAAGTCACATGTTCCAAGAGTCAACAGCTGCGATCTCTCTCTTTTTTTTTTGAGAAAAACATGGCCGACATGGCTCGAAAACATTCAGAAAAACCATGGTTTGGGTATGGGTCAATACCTATAGATACATTTTTAGTGGGATGAACATCCATTTACCAGCTATTTTGATGTTCACCAGGGGGATAGGGTTTTGACCCATCCCCGTTTAGCCGCATGGATTCACTGTTTTTCTGACGGCACCAAGGTTGATTCACCACATAGCCATGGCACCTGAGTGATCTTTTGCACCAAGATGTGTCCGGTCCATTTCTCCTCGATCCAATTTCCAGCCATGGGAAATGCCATGGGAAATCATGACCTGACCTCCATTCAGAACCGTGGTTGACTTTGTTCCTATTACGGTCCCGTTTTGTGTAAAAACCAACTGTAAATCATCTGAATTTCTGAACAACTCATGGTTTATGTTTTTAGAAACCTGTGAAACCGCCAGTATTCACCACAATGGCTGATGTAGGCCGTAGGCAACGCTTGGGTCTGACAGACCTTCTACTCATGGTGTACTCCATTGGGGCAAATGAACACCTGCCACCAGACTGGGGTCATGACTCGATTCATTTTGTGATATCATTTTATGATCTCTCAAATCAACCAACACATGTCAACATGTGCTGTCAACGCAAAGTTTTTGTCATTTGCTCAGCATCCCTGCCGACCTGACCTGGATACTTCGCACAGCGCTACTTCCATGGAATGCAGGGTCCCTGCTGATCTATGAGTTTTGTTCGACCATTTTCGGACTTGTCCCAGACTCATGGCAACACCAGCAACACCCCATGACTTGGAAGATCCTCGCAAGCCCTGGTGATGAAAACTCCATGCCAAGTCACACAGTTGGGATGAAGGCACCACCCCAAGCAACGCTCGTGATGTCGACCGCCCTGGCTCTGCAAACGGTCAATGCTGGGGGATAGGACCAATCCTTGGGTTCAAAATTTGAGAACCAAAACGATCCAAAAACGTCCAGAAGGTCAACTTGTTTAATTACGTTTACCATCTGGTTATGACTAACATAGCCATGGAAAATCACCATATTTTAGAGGTAAACCATCTATTTCGATTAGGGCCATCTATAGCATGGCGAACTGTCAGCCATAACCAGAGGGTAATTAGTTTCGACTGACGCCCACACCTCCATGTTTCCGTCACGAAACTATCCATGATTTACGTCGTATAAATGTCTTATATGAGTCGTATACATGCTGCAGTTGCGTTTCTTATTTCTTGACCAAGATTCATATTGGTCACTTAACTCCAACTCGTTGCTGTCTTCTTTTCGTAATAGCAATCTATAGCCATTCTCATGTTGGAACTTCCTTGCGAGGCTTCATCACCCTGCCCATGGCTTCCAAAGTGACCCTGCCGCTGCCTTCGCAATGAAGAAGAACTTCTGCCATTGCCAGCAGACCTGAGAATTGCGATGCTAATCTGCTGCTTGAACCAGCCAAGAAATCTTGGTTTCACTGGATTCATTGAACAGATGGTGGAAAATGACTGAAACCACCAAGTGGCAAGATCAATTGTTGGGAATATCCCAAGTTTAACCATATCTCAACATGTTTCAACTGACATATGGTGAAAGGGATCCCCCAAAAATAAAACAGATTCACTTCATCGATTCCCCAGTCATGGTGGATTTTCCATTGGGAATATCAAAAAATCACCTTGCCTTAAACAAACCCAGCTAACCTCCCATCCCAGGATTACCCTCTGGTTATGTCAAAATAGCTATGGAAAATCTCCATGCTATTCATGGGAAAATCCACTATTTCTATGGCCATTTTCAATAGCAAACTGTTGACATAACCAGAGGGTAACCCATGGGATTCCCAGCACCATCCGAGGTACCCCAGCGCCGGCTTCCTTGGGCTGTCTCCGCAGCTGGAGCTCCAGGAAACCGAAGCACACAGTTTCAGCGCCCGAGAGCAGCAGGGAGCTGGGTGCGCGGGGCAGCAGCCTCTTTAGGCGTCAAAACCAGGGAAAATGATGGGAAAATGGGCTGAAATCCATATGGCTATGTGTGTCAAAACCCATGGAATCCCCTGTAGTTCACATCAAAATAGCTGGGATTTATGGATGAATAACCCACTAAAAATGGTATTAATAGGTATTGATCCATAGCCACATGGGAAAAACGTGGGAAACCTCTGGGATTTTTGGAGGGAAAGTTGGACAAAAAAGGGACGCAGGGTTTTTGTTTGAACGGAGATGGGAACATCTGGAAGAAATTGATGGAATTGGGGGAAAACACGTAGAAAACTTGATGCAACAGCTGGGATTTTCTGTTGGAAAATGAATTGGAGAAAGCCACTGGGAACATAGGTTTCAGGTGGATCCTGAAGCTCCTAATGAATTTTCAATACTTGGTGTCATCTCTTACCGGAGGTGTAAACAGGATTTGAAGAAATGAACTTGACCTAAGCCACTACTCTATACTCTTCCAAAAAGTGTTCACTTTTGAACGAGTCGTCTGTGATCCTTCAGAACAACGGGGGTGGTATGAACAATGGTGGAAGGTAAACAAACCGACCACTAAAATCCACAGTTTCCCGAGATTACACGTCCGGGTCCGCCCGGTGACATCGTAGAATGAGCACAAGTATTACAGGCGCTGCAGAAATGCAGGGTCACCACAATCAACAAGCTACAATGTATATTTCTGGTTAAAAAATGGATTTCAACCATTCAAACTTCCTAGCGATACGATCCTGAATGCAAGGACTAACCTCCCGCAGCAAATATGTCAATCTGTTGAGGGAAAAAACCGCTGACATCGAGAAACGCGAAGAAATCTTGGCCCAGAAAAGCCAGGGTTCCTTTCGCCGCCTGTCCGAGGTGCCAGGCGGAAATCCAGCAATTTGAAGCATGGCGCGGGATGACACATGATGACAGGGACATGATTGGATCATTAAAAGTCACAGGATTCTGGGTCAAAAACTTACCCTCTGGTAAACGTTTACATAGCTATAGAAAATCACCATGTTATATGGGTAAATCAACTATAAATAGCCATTTTCAATAGCTATGTTAGTTTACCAGAGGGTACACTGTGCCATTTCAAGGCAAATGAAACCACCCTTGGGAGATTTCGTTCCCCTAAACTGCATCAACTACGACGCTTGCAAGGGACGTCCTTCCACTTTTTTTTCTTTGGGGAGATCTTTTACATGAAATCCACAGGCGCCTGGAAAAAACACAGCATGTAAAACACGAGTGGAGACAAAAACAAGCCGACAAATCCAGTGGTTTTGTCGGTCTCCAAGTCAATGCACCTCCCTCTCGCTCCCAAGGTCCAACAATGGCATCACCTAAGTGGTGAATTGCGGCTTTGGAAAGGAGCTTCCTGTCGATTTTCTCTTAAAACCATTCTGGAAATACATGTTTTCCATTGCTTTCCTCTTAAATTCGATGCTCTGAACTGCTTTCTTCGTTGCCGTGATGAAACACTGAACAATCGTTATCCCCATGGCATTAAGAGTCATGTATCCCCATCATTTGGAAACATCCCGCCTTGAAGACTTGGGAAAAGATCAATGCTTCAATCGATGGAAAAATGCTTCATCCTTCATCGATCCCGATTGGATGATCATACTTAGTGAAGAATCACCATTGATTGATAGCCTCTGGTTATGTCAACAGTTTGCTATTGAAAATGGCCCAGTCGAAATGTCGTGAGTTTTCCCATGAAAATAGCATGGTGGATCTTTCCATAGTTATGTAAACGTTTACCATCCTGTAGCAAAACTCACTTCAATCGGCATTTTTGCAGACGACTCGAAGAACCAAAAATGGAACTCATCCGCAGAAATCGGAGGATCGGATCATAACGCTTTATATCTTACTCTTCGGGAATCAATTGGGGTATCCCCAAACAAATGGAGGGTAGTTTCAAGGGAAAAAAATTACAGTGCCCAGCCATTTTCCTGATGTCTGCATTTGCATGAGGATGGTTTTACAATGTTTTACATCTTTTTCCGTAGTCTTTACATCCCATATACCGACGGCCAAATGAAAGCATCCCCACTATTAAATGTTGGTTACCCTCTGGTAAACTAACATAGCTATGGAAAATCACCATTTTTAATGGGAAAATCCACTATAAATGGCCATTTTCAATAGCTATGTTAGTTCACCATGGATTGATAGCCTCTGGTTATGTCAACAGTTTGCTATTGAAAATGGCCCAGTCGAAATGTCGTGAGTTTTCCCATGAAAATAGCATGGTGGATCTTTCCATAGTTATGTAAACGTTTACCATCCTGTAGCAAAACTCACTTCAATCGGCATTTTTGCAGACGACTCGAAGAACCAAAAATGGAACTCATCCGCAGAAATCGGAGGATCGGATCATAACGCTTTATATCTTACTCTTCGGGAATCAATTGGGGTATCCCCAAACAAATGGAGGGTAGTTTCAAGGGAAAAAAATTACAGTGCCCAGCCATTTTCCTGATGTCTGCATTTGCATGAGGATGGTTTTACAATGTTTTACATCTTTTTCCGTAGTCTTTACATCCCATATACCGACGGCCAAATGAAAGCATCCCCACTATTAAATGTTGGTTACCCTCTGGTAAACTAACATAGCTATGGAAAATCACCATTTTTGATGGGAAAATCCACTATAAATGGTCATTTTCCATTGCTATGTTAGTTCACCAGAGGGTATATATTTTTAAAACTACATGATTGTATGTAGTTGTGGGTGAATATCCTGACCCCCCTGGATGTTCACAACATATAGCTGGGTGTTCATCCCCCAAAATGTGGAAGATCATAAGTTTCAACCTCCACAACGTCTCATGATTGTTGGTCATATATCCCATTGATGTCTCATTCATATCTCTATTTATATTTATTGTATGGGTATGTCTGCACCAATTCAACCCATTATCGTATTAAAAGCGAATCAATAACATATAGTTTGAAAGTAGCGAGGTAGTATAAACACTCATAAATACTTTTGGGGCCAAACTGGATGGTAAAACCTCCGGCAGAAGGGCCGGCGCAACTCAAGAAACCCGATTTCTATGAGTATTTAAATACCTATTCTACAGCTATACTCAGATTGATAGAGATATCTACACCAAATCATCAATATATCCCGATTATATTCCCATTAAATCTCCATTGTATTCCCACTAAATCACCATTAAATCCCATGAATTCCCAATGAAATCCCACTAAATCACCATTAAATCCCATCAAGTCCTAATGAAATCCTAATGAAATCCCACTAGAAACCACCATGAAATTTCTAGCGATTCACATTGAATCCTCCATTTTTCCGTGCCACGGCACCGGCTCGGGATCCAGCACCACGAAGTCCTTGGGCGCCACCTCGGGGTCTTCGTCCTCGCCCAGCAGCCGGCCGGGCCAGCCGGCCCGCACCATGCACTGCCAGAGCTCCTCCAAAAAGGCGTCGCCTGGGGATTCGGAGGATTTACCTGGTCATTTTCAGATCTGGGAGGACAATCAATAAACAATCATGATATATCTGGATACACTGGGTTTTCATGGGATTTATAGTGATTTAATGTCATTTTATAGTGATTCAATGGGATATTTTCATGGGATTTACCCTCTGGTAATGACTGACAGTTTCCTATTGAAATGACCCATAGACAGTTCGTGGATTTTCCCATTCAACATGGTGATTTTCCAGTTCGTTATGTAAACATTTACCAGAGGGTAAGGGGATATGATTTCCAGTAAATAAACACATGGATCTAACATCATCATCATCATCATCATAATAATCATAATTCATTCTTGACATATAAATATATAAATTCTAAAAATCTAAAGATAAATATAAAATAATAGTAAACATATGGTGAAGTTATAATCATATAATATGGTGAATGGATGAAATATCTTTTGGACATGACATGGATTCTAGCTATAGTTGATCGGTGACTCATGGGATGATCATGGGATGATCATGGGACATATTTTGGTGGATGATCCCACGCATCCTACAGGATGGGGCCTCCCCAGTGATGTGAATGTTGGATGAGAAAACCCCATCCAAATATAGTTATTTGCGTATCATACACTATGGTTATTATAGTTATTTGCACCAACTTAGCGTTCACGAACTGGGGCCCCATCCCCTAAGTGTTCTACGTGTTCGGTTTTTCGGGCAAATCAAGGGGAGATTTCATGTGTCATGCTTGCCCAAGCACAAGGGAACAAAGAATATACTCTCTGGTTATGGCTGACATAGCCATGGAAAATGGCCCATTTATAGATGGTTTACCTATAAAAAATGGTGATTTTCCATGGCTATGTTAAACAACCAGATGGTACACCACAAATGGAGAGAGAACCAATCGAACACGGGGATGACGTGGCTTCCAAGCAAATTCTTCGGGCTTGTCATCATCAGATGATATGTCAACCAGTGGATATGGGGGTATACCCTCTGGTAAACTAACATAGCTATGGAAAATCACCATCTTTAATAGGTATATCAACTATAAATGGGCCATTTTCAATGGCTATGTTAAATTACCAGAGGGTAAACTGCACAAATCGGGAGAGAAGTCAGAACACATGATGATCTAAATGAAGTGCGGGGTACAGTGCACACAAATTGCCTACGGACAAAGACAAGAAATCACAAATGTTCACCCCACATCTGCAACTGACAAGCATGCTGCTCATCTACATTGGGATAAGCCCAGAAGGGATCCAATTTGCCATTAGGATTAAAGCAATTTCTTTCAATACCATGCAGATCGAAGTAGAAACCGATAGAAACCGGGTACAATCCATGAACTATCCAAGTTGTAATTAACTAATCGATTCATGGTTGTTCTGCAGCCCAGAAAAATGGTTCTTCATCATCAATAGTAGGGGGCCACCCAAAAAATATGACAGTTGAAATTTAAAAATGGAGAGAACCAGCAGAAACATAGGGAGCTAAGCCTGAAACATAGGGAACATAGTGATGCTCCACTTGAAACTATGATAGAAATTCTATGAAATTCTCAGCAACTCACTCAACCTATGAAGTTCAAAAACATGTTTAAATCAATAGCAGCCATGAATTTTCAGCGTGAATTTCTGCAGCCAAAGCCACGTGAACTCGATTGGAAGTTCCTGGAAATTCACGATATCAGCATGCTGGAAACCCATGGGGAAACCCACCATTTTTTTTATAGGTACCCTCTGGTGAACTAACATAGCAATTGAAAATGGCCATAGAAATAGTGGATTTTCCCATGAAAAATGGTGGATCTTTCCATTGCTATGTTAGTTCACCAGAGGGTAAACCATCTATTTCTATGGGACCATTAGGACCATAAAAGGACCATTAGGATGCTCTCAAAGCTGTGAACAGCTTGTGGGAGCTGCCAGGCATTGGGATGTCCCATCAATGCTCCTGAAAAAAACTCTTATCACCTGTGCATGGCGTGGCGAACAAACTATGAGTATTGACTACAGTATTGAGAATACGAGGATTCACCCAAATCATTGCATGAGTTGGTCCTTAAATCATTAGAACATAGAGAACTACGCATGTTGCTGCTACTTTTTTGCCCAATGTTTTGAGCAACCATAGAGCACTGGGAGACTGGTATCCAACTGACAAACTGGGTGGAGAAAATCAGAGATATCATGTGTCAGATCTGCCATTGATTCATGGCATCGACACAGGTTAGATAAATGGTTCGAACTCTTGTTTTGCAAGCGTGTGCGATTGAAATCTAGAAGCCCCTAACTATCTACTGTAGGGCCATATCATCAATCACCATAGCCACTACATCCTCCAAACTTTCAATTTACCCTCCGGTAAACTAACAGTTTGCGAACTTGAACATTGCCATAGAAATAGTTGATTTAACCATCAAACATGGTGATTTTCCATAGTTATGTTTGTTTACCAGAGGGTATCATCCGTGAATTCAGTGAGTCTTTCGCGCCAAGTATCAACAACTCGTCACTGCTGTGGTGCACCCGCAGCAATAGCAACGAGTCAGATCGGCGTGGAAGGATCTCGGTGTTGCAAATGGAAGTATATATATTACTACAATGTGAGGCCCCCAAGATAGCTAAGTTGGTTTATAACTCCAATAACAATGGTTTATGGTACTTATAACTATAGTTACTGGGGCTTATAAACCAACTTATAACTGGGGGGCCTCACATTGCTATATATTATGGTTATGTTTTTTCATGGAAAATCCATCTAACACGGATGACTGGTTGGTGGTTGAGCCCTACCCCTCTGAAAAATGATGGACTTCGCCAGTTGGGATGATGACATTCCATTCCCAACTGTTTCTGGAAAGTCATGTCATTCAAAATTCCATGATGTTCCAGTCACCACCAAGCAGATATCTCATTAACCATTATGAACCACTCTTAACCACTATGAATATGGATTATCCCATTGGATTCCCCTAAAATGCCAGCTGTTTCTTGGAGGATCATCGCCGTTCTGGGGATTCTCTGATCACAGGATGGAAAAAACATGGAACACCCCATGGGGAAAGGATAAAAAACACTGTGTACCTGCAAAACATATCAGTAAATCAGAACAGTTCTTGATTGCCCCACTTTTTTGTACCTGCTATATCAACTTCCTTGCTTTAACACCCAATATACGCACATGAACACACCCTTTCCATTCAGCGAACAAGAACAAACACCACCTTCACAGGCACTTGTGATAGAACCCAACTGAATTTGTGAAAAAAAACACATTTGCAGGCGACCCTGAAAATTCAGCGATTTCAAATCCATTCTTTCCATGTTAGGATCAACTTTTTCAGACAATTTTCACAGACAAACTGCATGAGCTTCAACTTTTCTGCTGAAACTCCACCACTTTTTTTGCTGGTACAAACTGATAAACATCCCATCTCCACCACTTTTTGAGCCCAAAGAAAATCAAATCGGACTTTTTTTGCCCCGGAAATTCCGCCATTTTCTGCCGGAGTGGCCACTTGTCGTAGTTGCGCCAGGGCCACCCCCATGGCCACGGACCAGGTGGCGTTTGGGCTGCGCGCGCTACGCACGCAACGGAGGAAGAGCAGGCGTTCAGAGGTCAGGACCAGGGCCTGGAAAACGACATGAAGTTGATGAATTTGTAGCATGGATACTAACTAAATAACTATCTATCTATCTATCTATCTACCTATTTGTCTACTTAGCACATATCCACAAATATGTCCATCTATATCTATACATCAGAAAAAGGTACTTATTCAGAAATATATTATAAATAACATATATATATAATATATGTACCATGTATATATATATATATATTATACATACATATTTGTATATGGATATTTCATGGAATGCTTAGTAGATGATGTTGGGGTAAATCACAAGGTACCATGCATGGTGTTGACGAACCACGTCTTTTTTTTTTCATTTTGCTTCAAGAACTACTTTTTTGTATTATAACTAGTGGCACTAAGAAGTTACCAGAAGTGACCATCAGCAGCCGGGCACTCCCATCTCGCCCTGCCTGGGTGTTGCAAGAGCTATTGGTTGGGTCGCTGGAAGGGGGCGCATCCGCTGCCACTGCATGTTCTAAGCCTCTGGAGCCGAAGCCACTGGGAGAACCCAAAGACAGGGACACAGCTAGCATGGGATTGGAGTAACACAAATTGGAATATGTTCCAGCCACCAATCAGCACCCAACCACGCACCATCAACAAGATTAACACCAACAACAAGCTCCAGTAATAAAGACTGACTAAGGGGAACCAATCATCAGTATTGAACCAAGCCATTGCCCATCTCCATGGGAAATAGTTCCCCATGGTTGCCCATTGCTGACCTCACAATCCATGCTGCTCTTCACATTGTCATTAACTACTCCGCCAAAACAGTGTTAAAACAGCATTCATCCCGGAACTTAGAGGCCTTGCAATACTCATCAGCTTGCTCTATCTCAGTAGGGAAAACCTGATCATTATGTGCGTTATACTACTTAGGGAAGATTATAGGTAAGGTTACATCATTATTATCATAGTGTAATACTATTGCAATATACATACGATTGCTATATACTACTGCACCCTATTCTGGCAGCAAACCACAACCATCCCCATCAACTGGGCCATTGAAATCAGCCATTCCCGCCATAGCACCGGCGTGAGTGAAGTTGGTGACCCAGTCAGACCTGGCCAGTTTCGGAGCACCCCAACTTCGAGCAATCCCATGACCCCAAAAAATGCCCTACAGGATGAGGCCCCCCAGTGATGTGAATGTTGGTTTATAAACCATGAGAAAACCCCCATGAATTCTAGTTCGTTATATCTACCATAAACCATAGAATTCAGCCACTTATAAGGCCCCATCCTGTAAAATTGGGATTTGCTGGGGATATTTGGATATTCATAGGATCTTTTAGGAACCATAATCCTAATATGGATCTTTACTGGGATAAGGGTCATTTAACCAACATGGTGATTTTTCTCATGGGGTTTTGTCATGGAGCAGAGGGAACCATGGTATGATCCACCTCCAGCAATGACTGACGGCAATGGTGACCATCAGCATGTGATAAGCAGAAACTATGGTGATTTAATGGGATTACACCAACCATCTTAATGGCTGGTTGGTGGTTGAGCCTACCCCTCTGAAAAATATGACTTCGTCAGTTGGGATGATGACATTCCCAACTGAATGGAAAAATAAAATGTTCCAAACCACCAATCAGATGGGGACAATGACCATGGTATAACTGTATCACCGAGTTCGTAAGTTAGTAGCCAGTTAGTAGATGGCTAATGACCATGGATCCCATCCTGCAATATTCAATCTTCTCAAGATCAACGCAGGGGGTTTACGGGGAAATTCTCCTTAGCGGGTTGCGGAATTGCGCTTGTGACACATGTGACCCATGGCCATGTATGGTGCACCGAAATCCGTTCTGGGGTGCAACCTCCAAACACTTTTATTTTCGACATTTCAAGGGATATGGACCCCGGTTGCTGGTGTGCAAACTGCCGTTCGTGTACCTGTTCCTGTTGCTGTTGAAGTGGGATGGTAGCACCAATTCTGGAATGGCTGGTTTTTTTTGTGGCCGGTTGCGATTGTGCCACTTGTTTTCCTGGTGATAGGGGGTATAAAGACTATAGAACTACATGCCGTGGTCATGATGGTCATGTCCATCCCTAAAACTGTGGTCTTTTTCTGTACAGCATAATGATAATAACAATATTAATATTAATAATATACGTACGAGTAGCTCACGTAAGGACTCGAAATAAATCCTGACCAAGTCAAATTTGTGACCCAATGAACCACTGCAGACCATTGAAACTGGAAGTTCAAAACCAGGTGAAAAAAATCCCCAATCCATTCGCAAAGATCAGCTTTGATAAACCATATCACTTAAACTTCAAGTCCCACAAATCAGATCAAATCAGTCCGTTCAACACAGATCCGAATTATGGATTTTATCCTACAAATGGGTTTGCTGGAAAATAATGGACAATAAGGCTCCCCCAAATTCATTGCTCAATCATCATTTTTCAGTTCGCTCAATCAACGAACTAAATGGCCATGTTCAATAACAAACTGTAAATTGACCAGACGGCATAGAAAAAACAACCATAAGTTGATATAACTATCCCATACTCCCATCATATAAACCACTAAATCATCATTCGATCATCATTTTCACTAGTTCAATAATCCCATTCAAGTTGATATAGCTATCCCATTAGATCATCAATCCCGTTCAATTTCATTAAATCGCGATTAAATCACCATAACATCACCATTAAAACACCATAAAATCCCCATTACCCTCTGGTAATTTAACGTAGCTATGGAAAATGGCAATTTTTAATGGGAAAATCCACTATAAATGGTCAATTTCAATAGCTATGTTAGTTTACCAGAGGGTAAATCACCATGAAACCACCATGAAATACCCGTGAAATCCCCCCGTTGATCTCAAGGCGCCAGATCCCCACGTTCTCCTCCGCCGGGCTCAGATGCAGCACTCGCTTGGCGTCGTGGTGACGACAAACGTTGGCGCGGTCACGGAGCGGAGGCTTTAAGGACACCAAGGAGGACAGGAGACCTGCAGGATGGTGCCCCAGTTCGTTAGCTAAGTTGGTGCCAATAACTCCCATTTCACTATGGTTTATGGCAGATATAACTATAGTATTCATGGGGTTTATAAACCAACAAACATCACTGGGGGGCACCATCCTGTGGGAATTTCTCGGGAAAATTTCGTCAAAGGGGGATTTCAGCATGAAACAACGGTTTTTTTTTAGGGGAAAAAACGCAGAGACATGGGGATTTCGTCAAACTGTCTGCACTGTTAGCAAGGAACAGATCAGTACACTATGGCACTATGGAATTCCATACTTGAAAGCCCTCATCCACAGCATTTCCTATACCAAACAAAGGTTTTGTGGGAAATTCTTTCAGGGGGTCGGCGGCACCAGGGCATCATGGCATTAGCCCATTTATAATCCATCTAAAATACACTCATCCCATAGATAATTAGGTAATAACTTCTGATACTGTGGATGGAAGAAATCCTGCACCACCTTAGATGGTTGAAACCCTATAGATAATGGGATAAACCACCTATCAACTGGTGCAGGATTCCTTCCATCCACAGTATTACTATATTAACGATCTTGTTGCAAAACCCCGAAGAAGATGCCGAAGCTAAACCAGGATGGTAGTTCCATGATGTTTTCCCCGTCATTTCCAGGTTTCCTAATCTCTGCAATGGATAATTCAACAGTTATCGCTTAATGTCAACCCTTGATGAATAACCCCCAAATGGCTGTTTAATTGGGAAGGTACCATTTACCCTCTGGTTATGGCTGACATAGCCATGGAAGCCATGGCCCATAGAAATAGATGGTTTACCTATTAAAAAAATGGTGGATCTTTCCATAGTTTTTTGTATGTTTACCAGAGGGTAAAACCTCCAGAAATAGTGGATTTACCTATTGAAAATTGTAATTTTCCATAGCAAACTGTTAGTTTACCAGAGGGTACCATTTAAATCATTGAAGTATCAAATCATGACCACCATGGGGGAATCCCTGGGTTTTTCCATGAAACCCCGACTCCGAGAGTGTTCGGAGATTTCCCAGCGTTTCACAGATGTTCCAGGCGAGTTGGTTTGTCAAAAAACCAACTCGGAATCCCATTCCCGAAGATATCTTGTTAGTTGTCCCATTTGATTTCCATTCATTTCCCATTTCCAATTCAATTGGATGGTTAATCCACTTGATCATCTCCTGATTTTTTGATCGCTTGGGGCTGGGATGAAGCCTCCATAGATCTAGCATAAACCCTACGAGTACAGGATCATCCCAGGAATCGTACAGCAAAAATAACACTGGTTAGTCAGTCCCCTAATAGTGGCTATCCCATATATAAATGGTTTAAAACCCCACTTTCTAATCAGATACTAAGTGGGATATTGGGGCTTTATCCAGCCTCCATAGAAAAAAATCTACAATATTTTTGTGTGATATGATATCAATATTGACTAAGTATATAGTTTTATAATTAACTACATGATGTATTATATTCTATAGATATGATGTCATACAATATCATATATATATATACAGTATATTGATAATTATCATAGAGATTATGAAAAATCCATATACCATAGATATTCATCCAGCCAAGCTGCCACCGCTGGGTTTGGCTTCCACCCGGATGTACGCGAACTTGGGCGCCGCCCTCGGACTCGGCGCCGAGGGCGCCATGCCGCTGCTGAGAGGAGGCCGCGCACCGAAGGCCAGGGCAGCACCTTTTTTCGAGCCACACAAGATGCAAAGGTTTGGTGTCCATTAACTACAAGGTGGTGCCCCATAGTTAGCTAAAACATCATACAATGTGAGGCCCCCCAGTTATAAATTGGTTTAGATTCGCCCCAGTAAGTATAGTTATAAGTACCATAAACCATAGTTATTGGAGTTATAAACCAACTTGGCTATCTTGGGGACCTCACATTGTATGATATGGTGGTTATTGTATACCAAGATATACCAAGATTATATGAATAAAGAACATGTTTTGTTTTTTGATAGGTTTGATATTAATCCCCATGTTTGATATGGTTATAATAAATGATATGGGGATTAATATGATGATTATAATACATAGATTGTATCATACCAAGTATTTACAACTATGTATTATTAATTTGTTAAAAGTTGACTATAACCATCATAACTGTTGTGGGAACTAACATATTCATGACGATCTCTGTTTTGTGGTATTACATTCTCCCAACTCTTTGTTTTGTCTTTCTTTGTTTGGAGGTTTCCTAAAATGCTCTAATATTAGAGTATGACTTGGTATTGAAACAATCATGGTGACTTGGGGATCCCCCATTTAAAGAAACAACCATATAATTACAGGCTATAATGATGATCATATGGCTATAATGATCTGGAAATAATGGCTATGATGATCTGGCTATAGTTACATATATGGTTATAATGGGTATGGCAATGGCTACAACATTTATTTGGGTATTAAACCAAATAGTATCAATATGTTATAGCTAAACTCATATTAAAGCCATATGATCACCAAAATGGCTATGCCGATCTGGTTATGATTACATTGATTACATATAAGGTAAAATAATGTGGTGATAGTGCTATGACTATAGTTAACACTATAATTAGCCTATGGTTAAAAAAAGGCTGATGATGTTGTGATGATATTAGGTGATATGGCATCATATTTTGCAGGCTATACATCTACTAGAAAATGGTATATCTATGGCTGGAATATGGTTGTTTCTCATTGAGAATTGCCACTTGGGTGACCTCCAACGCCCCCTAGAACCTTTAGAAGCCACCATGATTGAAGCGATTTGAATCCATGGTTTATTCAATGGTTCATTACACTTATCCCATAATTGTCCCATTATCCCATGATATTTCCCATTTTTAGAACCGAGAACCCTCTTAAAAAGCTCCCAGCCTGTCATCTAACCTTCGACAACCGACACAATCCCCACCTCTTGCTGTCGCCCTCTCCGCCTTGGTCGTTGCTGTCGCAGGCGCGGGCGCCGCACGCGCCGCACGTTGCAGGGCCAGCTCTTGGAGGTTGGGGATGTCGGGCAACTGCCCACCTGGAATGGAGCTGGGAAAGCTATTTCCCAGAATCAACTTAGGTAAAAACCATTGAAAAACCAGGGGGTATAAGATGGATCTATGATTCTATGATGGATATATGTTTATACATGTTTATTATACTATGAGTCTTCAATTGTTTTGAAACCTATTTCATGTCCAGGAAAGTTGGGTGATTTGCCAATTCTGAATTTCGGATAGTGAAAACCCCCATGTTCTTCCCATTTCATCGTTCGGAATATCCATTTGTTGCTACGCATATCTACACATTCACCAGCGGACCCCCCAGGCAAGCTGCTGCCATTGCAAGCAAAGGGGTCAGCCGAGGCGTTCAGCAACCTTGATGTGAAGGGAATGGGGGGATCAATGGGAACCCATGAAGAGTGGGAGATGATGCGTGCATCATCTTGCATCCCAATGCTTTGTTGGCGACCTAACTCTGTTGCAGATCCTCTTTGCTTGGTCAACTTGGTCAAGTACCATTTTCGGTCGTTCAATCCCAGGTATGAACATCTAGACCCATCCTTGGGTTTATCCCCAAAACCAGTTCTACATTCCCATGAGCACTGGCTTTATAGCAGTGCTGTTTCCAGGCACTAGTCATGTACCTTCCCTTTGGGGCTTGTCTGTTTCCGCTGGTTGGATTCTAATTCTTGTTGGTTACCTGCTAGTTTAGCTTATCTGGTCATATCCATGAACTCTACCTCCAATTGTTGGTTCCAGCCGCATTTCTTTTGTTCTATCTCATTATATTCATATTCTTGATTTTCCTTGGATATCCCCCCTGGCCAATGAGGAATCCACAATAATAGCATCCCCAATATGTGATGGATGAAATGGGGTGTATACCGCTGCTGACATGATTTACTCTGGTTGATAGGTGAAGATTAGCGTTGTTGGTGAATCCCACCTGGAAAATCAGCTCGCATCCCCAAAGATGTTCCAGAATCTCAATCGATTACTAGCTGCAAAAGCTGTTTTTCCCCATAAAATCTCACCATATTATGATTAGTGCTCCAATCATTTAATCATATTTAATCCATTCAAAATCCAGTCTAACCCATGGAATCCACATAAATGGAGTTGTATGAAAATAGGGTACCCTAATTCCACTGGCTAATCTTCATTTTCCCTATGAAATTTGGAAGTTGGGTCGTAGACAGACCCAAATATCTGTGGGTAATCAACATCCCATTGTATCCCCAGTATATTCCCATGATCTATCCCATTTAACTGGCTATCAATTACCATTTCCCCGGTGAATTCCCATATTAAATCCACCAGTACATCATAATATATCCCATCAAATCTCCCCAACGAAACCTTTCATCAGCACAAAATACGCTATTTTTCGATCTATATAGACCATGCCTCTATTTATGGCTTATAAATTCATACAATGTGAGGCCCCCAAGATAGCTAAGTTGGTTTATAACTCCAATAACTATGGTTTATGGTACTTATAACTATACTTACTGGGGCTTATAAACCAACTTATAACTGGGGGGCCTCACATTGTAATAAATCCCCATCTGTAGTGGTTTCCCCATTTTAAGTGGCCAACATCCCACCATTCCCCCTGGTTGGCCCAGCAACAGCTCCGCCAACTTCCCCGCACTGCTGCTGGCGGCGGCCCAGTGAAGGCAGCTGTTGCCCACGTCGCGCGAAAACAACGAGCAGCCCGACTGCACCAGGCATCTGGCGCGGTGATTGGGGTGATTGATATGGCGATTCACCATAATTTAAGCATCAGAAATCTGGAGGTTTTACAACTGTTTTGTTTTTATTGGTGGTTTTACCGTAGGAAAAAACCAACACATTTCCTCGTTTTTGGCTGAGATTAGGGATTTCGAAACCATGGGGCCTTTGTGCTTTTTTAGCCAACATGGAGGTACAAGGCCAAAAAATACACCAGCATGGACCCCAGATAGCAATGAGATTTTTGCGTCAGTCTTCAGTCGCTCAGGGTAGAATCCATCTATTTTACAAGCCAGTAATTAAACAAATGGCCATCTGAGACATACCCTATAAATGGTGATCCACATGGGAAAATAATCTATAGAAGTTCTTGGATTCAGCGCCATGTTTGATAGAGGGTAAACCATTGACCTTCACCATTCCAGGTGTTCAAATCGCAGGTTGCTGCCTGGCCACTCTTCGAAAGTGACTATAATTTATCTATGGGTTAGATGACCAATAAACAACTTACCTAACAGTAGATGAGTCTAGTTCGTCATGCATGTTTCAAGTACTCGCCAAATATGGACCCCATGGGTTTCCATAAATAGGGGAATACCCACAAATGGATGGTGTAAAATGGAACATCCTATCATACATGGATGATGTAGGGGTACGGTACCCCCACTTCAGGAAACCTCCATATACGTGGTTCTTTATCAATTATCCATTCTTATCCAATGAGCATGTCGTAATTCAGCCCAGTCATATCCCCAATATTTATCTATTTTCCCTAGACATGGCATTGTACACTCCAGTAAATTAACATAGACCCTGCCAGACAGGGGTTGGAAGACTAGTTTCCACTAAAAATTGGTAATTTTCAGGGTCTATGTTAATTTACCAGAGGGTAATCCATTCATCTTTTATTTTCCGAAGTGAACGGAGTTTCATCCCTGGCCTGGCCTGGCGGTTCCCACGTGCCCGCGCAAACATGCCATGCCCAGCGCTGTCAGCCCGCAGTCCGCTGAGGCGTCGATGCTGTCGGGAAGCAGCTCGCAGAGCAACGCAATGACCTCACAACAAGTGGCGTGTGGAAAGGTGTGCGGTCATAACTCTGGCTGAATGGGATATTTGCTGAAGAGATATGGAACATGGCCATTTATGGTTGATTTACCTAGTAAAAATGGCTTAATCCAATCTAGTACTATAAAAAAGGCTGAATGGGATACTGCTTAATAATGGTTAATAATGGTGGTTAATAATGGTTTATAATTTATAATGGTGGTTATGGTTAACCATTATGGTAATTTTAACCATCAACCGGTTGGTGGTTGAGCCCTACCCCTCTGAAAAAATACAGAACAGGCCACTGTGGGAGTGCGCAAATTGCAGCATTTCCTGTGCAAAGATCCAACAGCATATGGCGCAACCGGACAAAATTGAATTCCATTCCTCTCTGCTGTTCATTGGCTGAATGCACTATGTCATAGCAAACATTGCTGTACTGTAGTGTATCGACCTTGCTTCTAGTGCAACCACTGACAGTGCCTGGCAATCTCTGCTTGGCACATCTGCAATGGCTATCCACACACAAACCAAAAAACCAAAAAAAAAAAACCAAAAAACCAAAAAACCAAAAAACAAAAAAACCAAAAAAACCAAAAAGACAAGACCCAACACTCTGCATCTGACCCCCTCCCCTTGGGGTGTGCAATCTTGTTTTTTTTTTTGTTTTTTTGGTGGTTTTTTGGTTTTTTGTTTTGGTTTTTTGGTTTTTTGGTTTTTTTTGGTTTCTTGGTTTTTTGGTTTTTTGGTTTGTGTGTGGATAGCCCAGACCTTGCCCATGGGTCTGAACTTTTTTTTTTTGTGTTCTCGAGGTTTTGGCCAAACTGCAAAAAACCATGGAAAAACAAAAAAAACAAAAAAAACAAAAAGTTCAGACCCATGTCCCCTGCCAGGCCTCTCCCCAGACCTTGCCCATGGGTCTGAACTTTTTTTTTGTTTTTTCCATTGTTGTTTTGAATGTTTTTCATGTGAAGATGCTTTCATCACAGTACCTCTCAAAAAAATGCGCGTCTCTACAATTTGCACACCTGCGCCCCCCAGGCCAAACTGCAAAAAAAAACAATGGAAACACCAAAATTCATTTAATGACTTATATAATGACTAATATAATGATTAATATAATGATTAATGTAATGACTTATTTTTTCATGAATATAATGATTAATATAATGATGAATATAATGATTAATAAAATGATTGATAAAATGATCAATATCATGATTAATATAATGATTTATATAATGATGAATTTAATGATTATTAAAATGAAGAATTTAATGATTAATATCATGATTATTATCATGATTCATATAATGATTAATGTAATGGTTCATATAATGCCTAATGCAATGACTAATATAATTAATATAATGATTAATATAATGATTCATATAATGATAAATAGAATGATTCATTTCATGATTCATTTAATGACGTTTATAATGACTAATATAATGATTAATATAATGATTAATGTAATGATTTATGTAATGGCTGATATAATTATGAATTTATTGACTAACATAATGATTAATATCATGATTCATAGAATGATAAATATAATGATTAATATAATGATTCATTTAATGATAAATATAATTATTCATTTCATGATTCATTTAATGACTTTTATAATGACTAGTATCATGATTATATTTAAAGAATGATTAATATAATGATTACTATTATGATGAATACAATGATTAATATCATGAGTAAAATACTGACTAATTTAATGAGTTTATATATAATGAGTAATGTAATGATTAATAAAATGATTAATATAATGATAATATAATGATTAATTTAATGACTAATATAATGATAAATACAATGGCTAATATAATGAATGTTATAATGATTAGTATAATGATTGATATAATGATTAATATACTGATTAATATAATTATTAAAATAATAATTCATATAATGACTAATAAATGATCAATATAATGATTAATAAAATGATCAACATCATGATTATTATAATGATTAATAAAATGATTAATTTAATGATTATTAAAATGAAGAATTTAATGATTAATATCATGATTATTATCATGATTCATATAATGATTAATGTAATGGTTCATATAATGCCTAATGCAATGACTAATATAATTAATATAATGATTAATATAATGATTCATATAATGATAAATATAATGATTCATTTCATGATTCATTTAATGACTTTTAAAATGACTAAGACAATGATTAATATAATGATTTTTGTGATGGCTGATATACTTGTTAATTTACTGACTAATATAATGATTTATATAATGATATATATATATCTATAATGACTAATATAATGATTAAAAAATAATTTAATGAATTATATAATGACTGATATAATGATGATTCATTTAATGATTCATTTAATGATTAATATAATGATTCATATAATGATTCATATAATGATTCATATAATGATTCATATAATGATAAAACATGATTCATTTAATGACTCATATCATGACTAATATAATGACTAATATAATGATTAATGTAATGACTGCATGGAAAAAAGTGCACTCCCACAGCGGCCAGCTCTCAAAAAATATGCGTTCGTCAGTTGGGATGATGACATTCCCAATATCTGGAAAAATAAAATTCATGTTCCAAACCACCGATCAGGATATTTGGTGAAGAGATATTTTATGGGATAAATTGGTGGACTGGGATTAGGACATTATCCAGAAATGGAGATAAGCATAGCCATTGAAATGGGATAAACATGGTCAGGAGAAACCTTATGGGATAGTTGGATGGGGATACTGCAACACCAAGAGATATTGGACGGGTAAATGAACCAGGAACAATGATATTCACCTTACCCTCTGGCAATTTAACAAATAACGAACTGGACAATCACAATTTTTCATGGGAAAATCCACTATAAATGGTGATTTTCCATAGCTATGTTAGTTTACCAGAGGGTAAATAAGATTGTTTTGAGGTGAGTTCCCTTGCTAAACATCATTGTCGGTGAGGTCACTGTGAGGTCGTTGTCATTTTCTCGGAAAACATGGGGTACCAAAAGGTTCAATGATACCAACATACCAAGACCATGTCAGATCATTGGGATGTCGATCTACCAATGGCCACGCTTAACCCACACAATTTTATTCTTCAATATTCTTTAGTTGATTGGTTAGTATATATACATATCCCCATCAAAATATGTTTGTCTGATGATAGGGTACTCCCAAATGCAGTGGTCTATCATCAATTTTCTAATGTTTCTCAATTGTTACAGCATTTGGGGGTAAACCATATGTTCAAACATAAGAACATATGTTGGCTATTGACATCCCAAAAAAAACTGGCTAAATGGCTATCAATCAGAAGTGGATTGAACTAACCGTTGACCCAGATACATGGCTACGGAGTCTTGACCCGGTGCCCTTTTGCTCAAACCCAAATAGCTGGTGTATAAATGAATCTTCATCCCTCCAAATATGGTAGAACATCGATTTACCCGCTCTCAAAGCATGATTATGATCCATCCCAGTGTCAAGAAAAACCGCAAATACATGATCTTATCATAAAAACAGCAAATATCACTAGAAAATATGGAGGTGTAAATAGGTATATAAGTAGGTATAAATAGGTATAAGTAGGTATAACCTAGAAGTTGTGTTACATAACTGTTACATACAAACTATTTATATCTTACTATATCTTACCCATCCTCCCCGCCTTCTCCTGTCCATGCGCCGCAGCTGAATGCCAGGCCGTCCAACCACAGAGGTCCTGACCACAACAAACTGATAGAAATAGATAGGAAATAGCTAAGTTGGTAAACATCATTGGATTTTTTCCTATGGTGTTATGGGGATATATGGGGATATAACTATACCAATCATATATCCAATCATATATCCAATAGATTCCAATAGTAGATCTCCAAAGTAAGAAAATGTCATCTGTGGCCATCTAGGGATTCTTCACGATGATGCGACACGACGCCATGTTTCACCATACAAGTCAGCATGGGGATCAGTGCCGGTGAAACCACCAATTATTTTATGGTGAAATGAGTAGAATCCATGGCAGCCAATCGCCTTATTTTCTTTGCCAAATCATCTTGAAACACCCACCATATTCTTGGTCAAAATTAATCAAATCCGCCATAGTTTGGTTGTTGAATCACCTTAAATCCCCGATTTCTGGTTGGTTAAATGAGGCGTCCCAGATCCATGGCACCTGGCGCATCGCCAGCTGCAACCCCAACAACTCGCGCAGGGTCCGTTCTTCGCCCCAAGCAGCAGCCCTCAGCAGCTCCTCGTGCCCTGCCGGTACGAAAAATGGGACTTTGACCACTGATCAAAGATGGCAATTCCGAACTCAACCTCCATGGCTAGGCCACGGAGATTTCATGTTTGATGAGGGTTTAACCAACAAAAATCAATCATGGCAAGTGGAAAATCCCCGTGGCCTAGCCATGGAGGTTTTTCCGTTCGCTGGGAAAATCATCTACAGATGGTGGATTTTCCAGCAAGCCACACCTCTGATCACAGGAGGGTTTAGCGGTTTAACTGACAAACATTGGCATAGAACCCAGAACATGGCATTTTCACCAACACAACGTGGTTTTTTGTTGCTGCAAAACATGATGATCTTGTTGACGCGGAAAGGATACTGGGCTTCGTCCTGCAAAGTTGTATTTTCATAAGGAAAATGATCATAAACCACTGGGGTTGGGGCTCCCCTACCCTCTGGTTATGGCTGACATAGCCATGGTATAGATGGTCCATTTATAGATGGTTTACCTATTAAAAATGGTGATTTTCCATGGCTATGTTAGTCATAACCAGAGGGTATTTTCCGAGAAAGCCGTGAAATGGTTGGTAAACTTTCCATTGGAACGAGTTGATCAGAAAACGAATGGGATGCTGGCAATGAAACCAATTGATTCATTGCTGGTCTTACCTGCAAAACAGGAGAGATTTTTTAGCAGTCGAAGTCGATTGATCATCAAACATCGATTGATTTACCCTCCAGAGATATGGGATTTTCCATCGCCACCTTTGATCTCAAGAGGCTAAGCATCAAATCTATCAAACAATGAGAATCTACTGGTAGGATGGCTAAGATCTCCGCAATTGCAAGAGAAGAAAAAACTTGAACCAGATTGATCCAAATGGAACTTTAAGCCATGTCAGGAAGTCGATCGTTTATCTGGCCAATTTACAATAATTCGCACCTCGTCACCTCGTCGTTAATTCGTATGTGCGACGTTTCACCTCGCCTCGTTAATTCTACTTTGGGGAATTACTGGGCCCGATCCTTTACCTAACACATCACGGTGGTGCTCTTTCAAAAAAAATACTTTTGAGAGACTGAAAAGTTTTTTCTAGTTGGTTGGTCGCAGTTGCAATGCTTCTATCCGGTACCGAGGGGAAACAACTTTGCAGCCTGTGAACAATATTTTTTCGCATATTTCCTCGGCCACAGCATTTTTCAGAAGGGCTCAATTTTGGAGCTTCTGTGGATGCTTGTGAAATCCGAATCACCAGTTGATAGATGGTGTATCATATCCCCTTATTTTGTTGGGCTTTCAACCATCCTTTTTGGTGGTTTTGATCGGATTTCGCAACCAGTTTGGTCGTCTGGGATGACTTTCCATGAAGCGAACCATCCAGTGACTGGTCGTGCTTTTTTGAAGCGGGGTCTAGGCTTCATAAACATCTCCCGTGATTGGTGAAATAAGGTTGAATACCCACATGGGAGTTGGTGAAATAGAATACGTTTTCCCCAAAATCTGACGGTAAAACATATGAAAACTTGATCCCCATGAAAAAAACCATGCAATAAATTGGGGTAAATCCATGCTCAAACGGTTCTATATCTATATATATATATATCTTTGGCTATAGATGATTTTCCGACCCAAAAAAAGTAAATCGACAATTTTTGACGGCTGAGCATCCCCAATTCCTATCCATTTAAGGGTGTTTCCTACAAAAGAGATACAGCAAAGCCACTGTTTGAACCCCAAAATGGATTCTTATCCAACGGTTCCACTGTACCCCTTATCATCATGGAGTTGCTCATTGAACATCACAAATAACTGGAGCGACTTTTCGCATGACTTTTTGGGTCCCCATTTCTGGAAACCCCGACGGTACTATCCAAAATGCCCTGACACCAATTCTCACGTTCCCGTGCTTGGTGGCTGGTATTACAAGATGATGTTTGTTGGACAACCATCCAATTTTTGTAAACCCATTGTCATCCCTTGATTATAGTCCCATTAGAATCCCACTATATCCCCAACTTTTGACATTGTTTTTTCCTAATCCATCACTTTCCCATCAACATTCCATTAACCTACTACATATTAACATTCCATTAACATCCCTTAAACATCCCATCAATTGTCCCCATCATACCTCCCAACAATGTCCTTTTGGCAAAAATAGAGGGGCATTTTTTTGGTCAATGACTTATGATCACTGGTTGGTGGTTTCAACCCCTCTGAAAAATATGAAAGTCAGTTGGGGTTACTATTCCCAATATATGGAAAAAAAATCAGGTTCCAAACCACCAACCAGATCATCTTCGGATCATCTAGATTCATCTAGCTCTTTGTTGAATGGGTGGACCCCTCTCTTCATCAACCAACCGGTCGCCGCGCCTTCACTCTTCGACTCTTCTGCCAAGACTTGTGCCACTTTCTGCATCTCTTCCTGGATGCCGGGCCGCCATGTGTGGAAAATGAGGGATTTAAACGACAACAATTACGACTAAACCAACAAACATGACTAATGTGGTTAAAACAATGCCATAACCCATCCCCCAAATCACCATACATAGGTGGTATAAACCATTCCCAAATGGGTGGTTTATGATTGTTTTACCCACATTATTTTGATTTATTTTGTCAACATGGGGATTTTACTAACCAAAATAGATTCACGTCGAGTTCTGGTCGAAATTGGGGAAGGAAAGCAATGCACCTTGGATTTTACATCAAAAGAGCTCATACCCTCTGGTAATTTAACGTAGCTATTGAAAATGACCATTAATAGTGGATTTTCCCATTAAAAATGGTGATTTTCAATAGCTATGTTAAATTACCAGAGGGTACCTTTCTGGATGTTAGCGGTTCAAATGGGATCTGAGGATTTGACACATCCAGAAACCGCTCCCAGCGCCACGACGCGACACGACGCGACCCGTCCATCAAACGCGCGCGCAGAAGTCGTCGTTCCTCCGCGAAGGACTCGGTGGCTTCTTCGTGGCTCCTTGGAGCCAGTGACTTGGACCCAAAAAAATGCCTGTCGTGGCAAGAAAACATGAAACCAATGGGGTGTTGAATATTGTTTTAAGCACATATCTTGACTTTGAGATATGTTTTTTCCGAACAAAATGGTAGGTCCTGGCAATTGCATGCTCAATCCTCATAGTCTCCCTGTCATCTCATGGGCCTTCCAGGATAAATCGTCGATTCTGAAGGCTTGGAGATTTGGATCAGAGCTGCCCTTGAGGGGGTGCCCCAGCACCGCCATTGAGCAACCGCAAACTGCTGGAAACCATCACCTTTCTTTGGTTTTCCCAGAACAGGTGGTGTATGGACTTGAGGGTTATTGTTGCGGTTGCCAATTTTTTGTAAAATTTCTATATCAAACACCACCGAAGCAGTCTACATAGTAGACAGCCAGATACATGCAAATCGAACCCCAGTGTAAAGTATATCAACTTTCCATGCAGGTCGCAATCTTACGATTTCAGGTACTATTTACGTGTGTCTCCCCATAAGATAACTTTCCATTTATGATGATCTTCCCATCAATTCCCATGAATTTTCCTAAACAACAAAGACGCATAAAAGTCACCCCAACTGCAACCCCCCAATCTCACCCACCACAATGTTGTGGCCCCCAGTCATATTTGTTGGCTTATAAACCGCATGAACTAGTTTGATACACTTCGATATATCTAGGATAAACCCAACAGTTCTATAACAATTCTTGAAGTTGTAAACCAACTTAGCTCAAACTTAGGTAACTCATCATGCCCACTAAAAATCCCATTATAAATCACCATGAATCACCAACTTAGCTGCAAACGGGGGTACCACATTGCATCACCCCTTGCAAAAAATGCCCCCGTTAACGGCTCGTTAAGCTGCGGCAGCGGCAACGGCTTCTGCCGCTGCATCTGCTGTGCTGCATGCTGTGCTGCGGGCACACTGAGGCCATGCCGCAAGGCTGCACGGTGAAGGGCTTCAGGATTGGCTCCTGGGAACACTTGAGGAGATGGATATGGACAAAATATGGAGTATCATGAATATCCCATTTTGTCCATATATGTAAGATGGTTGGGGAGATATCCCACTATATTTTTAGAATATGTAATGATTTCGAGGTTTATATGTAATGGTTTACATCAAAAATGATGGTCCATAATGTCCATTCTATGCCCCACTAATCAGCTAAAATGGGGACCCAACCATCAAAAATCGGGGGGATTTCCTTGAGAAAAAATGGGGCATATAACCAACGATATGATAGTGTCAACCCTGGATGAATAAACCCTGAATATTAAATGGGGAGGTTACATTCAAAATAGTGATATCATTACATATTAGTATATATAAATAACTATATATATATAACTCTATACATATAACTCTCTCTCTCCATATATATATAATTATATATAAATATATACATAACTATATATAAAACTATATATATAACTATATATATATAACTATATAAATCACAATATATATATAACTATATATATATATAACTATATATATAACTCTATACATATAACTCTCTATATATATAAATAATTATATATAAATATATAATAACTATATATATAACTATATATATCTAACTATATAAATCACAATATATATCTAACTCTATACATATAACTATATATATATAAATATATATATATGAATATATATAAATAACTATATATATATAAGTATATATATAACTGTATATATATATAACTGTATATATATATAACTGTATATATATATATTTATATAACTGTATATATATAACTGTGTATATATATATATAACTGTATATATATGTAAATAGTTGTATATATGTATATATATATAACTGTATCTACATATAACTGTATATATATAACTATATACATATATATATATAACTATATATATAACTATATATATAACTATATATATATAACTATATATATACATACATACATATATATACATACATATGTATATAACTGTGTATATATAAATAACTATATATATATAACTCTATACATATAACTCTATATATATATAAATAATTATATATAAATATATATAAATAACTATATATATAACTATATATATATAACTAAATATATATAACTATATATATAACTATATATATAACTATATATATAACTATATATATAACTATGTATATATAACTGTATATATATATATTTAACTGTATATATATAACTGTATATATATAACTGTATACACATATAACTGTGTAAATATATATAACTGTATATATATATAACTGTATATATATATAACTGTATATATATATAACTGTATATATATATAACTTTATATATATATAACTGTATATATAACTGTATATATATATGTATATAACTGTATATATGTATATATAACTGTATCTACATAAAACCGTATATATATATAACTATATACATATATATATAACTATATATATACATATATATATACATATATATATACATACATATATATATATATACACATATATGTATATAACTGTATATATATAACTGTATATATATAACTGTATATATATATATAACTGTATATATATAACTGTATATATATAACTGTATATATATAACTGTATATATATAACTGTATATATATAACTGTAAATATATATATAACTGTATATATATAACTGTATATATATATAATACAACTGTATATATACATATAACCATATATATATAACTATAAATGTATATATAACTATATATATATAATATAACTATATATATATAGAAATCATTTAAAGTGGCTACCCCCCACCCCCCACTAATTGGGAGGTTGTCAATCCTGGTTGAGATTGTAGAATTGCCAGAGCTTTGGATAGATTTGACCTATCCGATTCTATTAGCGTGGACTCTCAGCATCCCATCTGTAGGCATTTGCAAATGGGGACTAACCAGTATTACCACCCCCGGAGATTGGGAGAAACACTGCGTTTTCTTTATAGCCAAAGATCTTTTTTGACTTCAAATGCTCAGTTTATTACTGAAAAAACGGCAGCATCATTCCAACAAAAACATTGTCCTAAGCCAAACATTGTCCTGTCAGAATAATGAACTTCCCAACCACTTAAATCACAACCAGCACCTACCAAGCTACTGCATTGTGACAACTTCGGAAGTTGCTTGGTGAATAAAAGCCAAAGAAACAAAGGGTATGAAATTCTAGGAAGAGTACTGTAAAATGAACATCAAGGTCCAAGCAATGATGATCTGGTTGGTGGTATACCTACCCCTCTGAAAAATATGAAAGTCAAATTAGGGATTATTCTTCCCAATATATGGAAACATATAATCCACATGTTCCAAGCCACCTATTCACTCCCAAAGTTGTGTGTCGTGAACCATGTTGCAACCAGCTTTGTTGGCCAAACTTCACCCCGATAAAATTTGGTTTCTGCTTGAACGAAAAACCCATTGGTCAATGGGGAGAACGAAAAATCTGGAATCTTCTTGGATTTGCTTAAAGAACACAGAAAAAAATAGAACATATTCCCTATGGATTCACGATAGATTGCGCATTTCTCATTGGGGGAAGACCTGGGAATCTTCAACAAACCAGGTATTTGCAATTACCAACCAGATCCACATGTTTGTTGCTGAACACACCATCTGAACGCCTGAAGTCTGCCACTTGAACCAAGACTCTGGAGTTCTCCAAATACCTCAGGTTTCTGTTGCATCTGTTGTGACACATCAAAGCGGATTTGCGGTCTGAATCCCAAATATCATACAACTGCATAAAAAAGGCGGCTGTGATGTGCAGGCTTTGTCATGCTCCCCAAAATACAACCAACCCAATCTTGAGGCCATTAAGTGCTATTAAGCAAATCCAAATGGGTAGTTGGATGTGCACTACGGTTTCTAAGTGGTGCACAACTATGCATATATATATATTACATAAGGGATATACCCCAGTAATTCTGTGTGTTATGACTCACTTACCAGCTGGGATCTGGAATGTAGAGCAAAAGGGGTCCCAGTTCGTTAGCTAAGTTGGTGCGTTCATAACTCCAATTTCACTATGGTTTATGATACGCAAATAACTATAGTATTCATGGGATTTATAAACCAACGTTCACATCACTGGGGGGCCCCACATTGTAGAGCAAAACTAGATCAACTGGACGTATCATATTTGTCAAGTTGCACTTCATATTTCTTCAAGATCTCGGCCATGTGTCCCTGTCCGACCTGCGACTCCACTCCGGAAAAAATGCGGTGCGGCACCGGAGATCCATGGGGGACTCCATGGATGCCTCTGAATTGCTCATCTTTAGCCAAAGATCCAAAGTCACAAATTGCGAGTCTTTAATTTATGACTTTGACATGACCAATGTGTAAATCCAACTTTGGATGGGTAAAAAAACCTATGATTTCCAGCGTATAGCGGTCTCATCGCCGCGCCTCGCTCAAGTTCAAGGCTTGCAATTCCTTCGGAAGCTGCAGGGGTCATCCGAAAAAGGCTGGGGATTTTCAGGAAGCATCAGGGGAGGCTATCCATTTCTATATCTCGAAAAAAGGATAAAATCCCAGTTGAACTAGTGACGAATTATTGTTCTGCATCTTGTTGGGTTACTATCATGGGGATAAACACCAACAGTGGAGTTTAGTGATGAATGTGTCCAAAAATGGGGTATACACTTGTGGCAATGGGGAAACTGATGACTGACCAGTAGAGTTATGGATACTTCGTTTTGGACAAAACCACACAAAAAATCGTGAATGCTGCATCATCTTCACAAGTTGGGGATAGAAAGGAAAGCACTGTAAGGGCTTGAAACCACCAAACGTAATAATAAGCGTCCCAAGTTGGGGCTTATTATTTGGTATACGGTGCCTATGCCTTGAAAAAAATCACTGCGGTTTGATGTTTGATTTTTGGCCCTCTTGGATGGTTACTTGGATGGTCACCATCATCCGCATATCCCTGAAATATCTCACTGGGGGTTGAATCCAGGTTACCTGGTTTACAGCATTGCAACTGAGGAGGCGTCCCCTTGAAAAAGCCTGGGGTGTTTTTATGGCTGCACATGGCTAACATGGCTACAAACCATCCATGAGAACGAGCTGTCACCTACCAGAACACAATAAGTTCCACTTCTAAGTTGGATACCCTCTGGCAATTTAACATAACTATGGAAAATCACCATAGAAATAGTGAAATTTCCCATGAAAAATGGTGATTTTCCATAGTTATGTTAGTTTACCAGAGGGTAAAACTCAATTTTTTCGCTGGGCTCACACCTGGGTGACTTCATGGAAAGGGCTCAGCAAATTTGCAGGTGAACATCGAGCAACTTCCCAGGCTTCCCATACGTCACCCTTAACGAAATATGACATCTCTCAACTTTTGGAAACAAATTAATATATATATATAACTAAATAACTAAATAAATAAAAAACTAACTAACTAACTAAATAAATACATATGAACATCTACCCCATATCTCTAGCATTAAACCCCTATTCATGGACGTATCAAACCCAAAATGGTCCAGTTTCACGCCGTTCGACAGCGTCAAGCTTCTGGCAACTGCCCCAGCTCTTTCGGCCGTCGCGCGCCACGCGCGTCGAGGTTCACGCGCACCATGAAATCCAAGGTGCTGCGCAAGTCCGCACCTGGTTCCACCCGAAAAATTTGGACCATGGAAGTCACACTGTGTTGTTTTGCAAAGGGAAATTTCATGCAGAAACTGGCCGTTCAACCAGGAGGCAGTGAGTCACCAACAAATACAGCGTGATTTTAGTGGATCAAAGATGGGCATTGCGAACGTCCCTGCCACTCGTGGCCCTTTCAAACATCAAAGCCCATGGGATCTCGAGACACCTGTTGTGAAATGGGAACAACGGGACCTCAAAGTCTGCCCCGCAAGGTGGAGCCCCGAAAAACAAATAGTTTCGGTCAGGTTGCAATTAAGCAAATTCTTGCGTTTATGGTGGATGTAAGCACATATATATATATTTAAATATAGCTTTTTTATTCATTTATAAACTAATATATATATATACACATATGTCTGTATACATGCATATGTATATCTATATATGTATAGTTGGACGCATTAAAATTCAACGACTTATATATATATATATATAAATGGGGGTTCCGACCTGGTACCGTCCCTAAGCATCTCTCGTCAAGGCACCCAAAGACAAGAGTTTCTCGTCTTGTGCAGCGGCCTCTGCTTTCAGCATCTCGATCCTTCGACGTTGATCCGATAAGACCTGCACGAGAAACGAGGCATCCAAGCTCAAACGTATTATCCCCCCAGCATCAACAAACAAATGGGGGTGCTCATCGCCACACTTAGATCCCCATCTGGGCTTGTTGATCCATAGTCAAATCCCTGTCTTTGTTGGTTCCCTCGTGTATGTTGTTTTTTTGCCTCTTTACTGGTTGAACCACATGTTTATTCGTGACAATTTTTAATTTTTCTTACCGCTCCAGCTACGATGATATCTCCATTTCTTGGCATTTTTGTTGTACAACACCATCCAAAAACCACCAAGAAAAACGACATAATTCTGCCCCGATTTGAAGCCATAGTGAGAATCCCCCGAAAAAACTTCTACCAGTTTTCCCGAAATCTCCCGAACACCAAATGGTTTGTCAGATCATGATTCTCCTGCCGTAAATTGGAATTTAATAGATCTACTCACACCAATTTCGGACACCCATGTGGGTATTCCTCAAAATTACTGATCCCCCTTTTGGTATGCTTAAATAACATTAAATATGAAATATGACAAACCCTTTGCGGGTCCGTACCCCAACAATCATGTCTGGATGATATACAATTTGTTGGTGCTAACCTGGTAAACTAACACAGCCACGGAAAATTACCATTCGCAATAGGTAAGCCATCGAAGCAAATGGCCATAGCAATGTTACTAGAGAGTAGCCCTTGAAAAAAGGCAGTCCAATCTTAGGTGAACTCTCCAATAAATAGCTCAGCAGCAGGCTTTGAACGAATCGCGATTCGCAGGGTCCGCAGGGTCCGCCTTTCCGCCCTGAAAAAAATATCCTGTTGTGGATAACCCGCAGCCAGTTCCATATATCTACCGACCCAACATTTTTTGGAGTTACAAACCAACTCGTGTATTCATGTATTCATGTGTACATTTATGTATGGATGCATTGATGCATTGATGTATGGATGTATGTAAGGATGTACGGATGTACGGATGTACGGATGTACGGATGTACGGATGGATGTACGGATGTATTGATGCATTGATGTATGGATGTATGGATGGATGGATGTATGTATGTATGTGGTGGGTATGCGGGTATGTCTGTATGTCTGTATGCCTCTATCTATCTATCTATCTATCTATGTACCCATGTATCCATGTATCCATGTATGTATGTATGTATGTATGAATGTATGTATGTATGTATGTGTATGTATGTGTATGTATGTGTATGTATGTGTATGTATGTGTATGTATGTGTATGTATGTGTATGTATGTGTATGTATGTGTATGTATGTGTATGTATGTGTATGTATGTGTATGCATGTGTATGCGTGTATGCATGTGTATGCATGTGTATGCATGTGTATGTGTGTGTATGTGTGTGTATGTATGTGTATGTATGTGTATGTATGTGTATGTATGTGTATGTATGTGTATGTATGTGTATGTATGTGTATGTATGTGTATGTATGTGTATGTATGTGTATGTATGTGTATGTATGTGTATGTATGTGTATGTATGTGTATGTATGTGTATGTATGTGTATGTATGTGTATGTATGTGTATGTATGTGTATGTTTGTGTATGTATGTATGTATGTGCATGAATGTGCATGAATGTGCATGAATGTGTATGTGTATGTATGTGTATGTATGTGTATGTATGTGTATGTATGTGTATGTATGTGTATGTATGTGTATGTATGTGTATGTATGTGTATGTCTGTGTGTATGTCTGTGTGTATGTCTGTATGTATGTATGTATGTATGTATGTATGTATGTATGTATGTATGTATGTATGTATGTATGTATGTATGTATGTATGTATGTATGTGTGTGTGTCTGTATGTGTATATGTATATGTATATGTATATGTATATGCATCTATCCATCTATCTATCTATCCATCTATCCATCTAATCCATCTATCTATCTATCTATCCATCTATCTATCTATCTATCTGTCTATCTATCTATCTATCTATCTATCTAATTGCACCATATGTGTTGAATCTTACCAACTTAGCGCTTCCCAAACTGTCAACGTCGCCGCTTCCGAGTCCAATCGCCTCAGCGGCCACCTCTTTCTCCACATGTCCCCGCGAGCGCCGCAGGGCCTCCAAATCGCTTCGGCTCCTGGGCAAATCGGGGAAAATCCATGGCGTCTGTAATTCATGGCTCACCATGGCTATCCAGCTTTATAGCCATGCTGTACCCTTTGAGATAATCATAGACAGTTCAACGAATCTATTTCTGTGAGACAAAAAAAAGCTTCATTTTATTGGGACCATCCTGCTCTTTTAGTGGAAAACGGTCCGGATGATTTTCAATTGAAAACATGAAGAGTTTCCACTGTTCTCCCTTTGGTTTCCTCGAATCTTTCACTACAGGAGATTTTCCCTTGCCAGGCTCATCACCACAGAATCATGCAGATATGGGTCCAAATTCGATCAGTATCCAAAACTGTTCACCTGAAAATAGCTGATAGTTGTGGATCTTCATCCCAAATATGATATAACATTCATTTTTCAGCTATAAGACTATTATAAGATCAAGCTCTTGACCAATCCCCATCAAAATACTTGGAAATTAAGTATGCCTTCAAAACGGCAAAGCGGCACGTGAACACATCCAAGCTCCATGGCTAGACCCGATGAAAAAACCATACCTGTTGAAATGATTTAGCTGTTGAAAATGACCTTCCATCGATCGAACATAATGGTGATATATGGTAATTACCCTCTAAACCATTTACCCTTCAGGTCATTTATAGATGATTTGCCTTTTCAAAATAAATTTGATTGTTTCCATGCCAGATCAAATTACCAGCCGGGTTTTGCATTTTGGACCACAGACACCCACGTTTTCCATCGTCCGACCATCTGCGGATGCAGCCGTGCTTCCTTTTGGCCAGTTGCTGAGCTAGCAGTTGACCTGATCATCCCACATCTTGGCGACTCCGTCCACTGGCACCACTGGTCCCTGTGTTGTTTTGAGTCGTTAAGCAACTCACCCAACCTTCACCCTCAACGAGTCAGGAGTGATCTGTTCATAGTCCTACTTTTTGCTGGCCAGATCTGCTTATAATCTCTTCAGCCCCAAATATTTGTTCATTCTCTCCAGCATTTTCCCACAATTTTCGCCCCAAGGGCTTTGGCTGCGGCTCTGGTATAACCGCCACACGCGCCCCAGGCCATCTTCCGCGCGCATGGCTTCCCGGTTGGCCAAGGCCAAGAGTTCTTCGCTCTGGCGCTTGGCCTCGGCAACCTGGGCAAATCCCCTGGGCATGACTTGATGGTTGATGCTAATTTGGCTCATAAGTAACATAACCAAATTAGCCATGGATTCTAATTGGTAAAATGGGATGATTATTCCCCAAATACGGTAAGCCAAATTAGATAGATATTGGTAGACATTATATCTATAGAATCTATATAACTTGACTATTCGTATATCAGCCATGCTTCTGGGGATCTATGCGGGATTGAGAGCATCAGGATTATCCCATTCACAGATGGTTTCATAACGGAAACTCAGCCACTAACCAGATACTGGGATGACCCTCCAAGTATGCAGGGAATTCTGCCTTGTACATCAGGTCCAAACACCCATTTTGGCAAGTCGGAGCAAGGCACCTTCATTTGCAGAATTCCTGGATCGCTTCCAAGTTCCTTCCTTGGATCGCAATCTGGAAAGATCGGAGATATCAGACTTTCTGCCCCAATGAGAACGTCGCGTCCAAAAACTGAAAGATGGAACCAAGACTAAGGTGGTGTAGACCAATTGGTGGGGCCTAGCATGACATCCGCAGGTAGCGTGATAACGATCTCATGTATTGGCATCTCCAAATGAGAATTGTAATTGAACAGAGCTGTACTGTGTGGCCTATTTCAGGACCTTGAATGACTAGTGGCATCTGAGGCTTCCTAGTCAGCATATGTGGGGTATCCGCTACTTTCAGGTTCTGCCGCTCATCGCCCAATAGGGCTTCATGGTTCTGTACACCCCTAGTAATGGGATGATGTTTTTCAGTGACCCCCAGTCATGCTTCGTTGATGGGATGGTTTACTGTTGGGTTTACCACATCAACTTTGGGTATCAAATCAACTTTATCACAGGTCACAATCCAGCTGCGCACCATCTGAGTATGGCTCAAGTCTGAAAAAACCAATTGAGCAACGATCCATTGCTGGGTGGAAGACGTGGGTCATGGGAGACTCTAATATGAATATAGCCTCAATATCTGCTCCATATCCACAATGTCTTCAAATGATTGTTTGGGAATCCATACAAGTGGCTGTTAATATCATTATCATCCCTATTAAACCACATAAAACCATATAAATGGCTAAATGACCCAGATATTTCATCCCAAAACCATGAATTCCCAGAAATATACAGCATTTTCCCCACAGAATTGGGTTGATGATGGGATGATCATAACATAAAACCCTTATAAAACCATTATATAAAAATTCAATATAAAACCTTTATAAAACCCGGATAAAACCCGTATAAACAATCTCTATAAAACCTTGATAAGACCATGATAAAACCCTGATAGAGGCATGATAAAACCCTTATAAAAACCTTATACACATATTTATAAAACCTTGATAACACCCTTATAAAACATATTTATAAAACCTTGATAAAACCCTTATAAAACCCATATATAGCAAATCTAAAAAAAAAACTTATAAACAATATTTATAAAACCCTGATAAATCTTTTATAAAACCGTTACAAACATATGTGTAAAACCATTATAAAAAATATTTAGAAAACCCTGATAAAACCCGTATAAACAATATTTATAAAACACTGATAAAACCCTTAAAAAAATATTAAACAGACCCTTAAAAAAATGTAAAACCCTGATAAAACCCTTATAAATGTATATATATATAAAACATTATAAAACCCGTATGAACAATATTTATAAACACCTGATAAAATTCCTTAAAATTCCTTAAGTTTCCTTAAATTCCTTAAAATTAAAATCCCTCAAAATTCCTCAAAATTCCTTAAAATTCCATATAAAACCACTAAATCCCCATGTGTTCCACGCCCGTCCCAGCGGCAGTTCCCGATCCATCACTTCGCTTCGCTCCAGGCGTACGGCGTAATCGGCTCGCAGCTGTTTCCTGGATCCAGTGATTTCTGGTGAATCATGTTGTGGTTAATAGTTAATTCCAGTGATTTCTAAGTGGTTAATAATGGTTAATCACCATTGGTTAATAGTTATCCCCTGGTTATAATGGTTAATCACCTGTGGTGATTTATAGATGGCAGTATTATATCTGTGGTTATAATGGGTTATTGACTGTTAGTATTGGTTAATAATGGTTAATAGTGGTTAATAATGGTTAATCACGGTATTTTCGACATACTGTTGGTTAGTAATGGTTAGGCAATTGTTACAACCAGTTAATTTAGTGGTTCATAGTGGTGAATAATGGTTAAAATCACAATGATCATGGTTGTATCCCATTAGATCATGGTTAATAATGCTTAATAATGCTTAATAATGCTTAATAATGCTTAATAATGCTTAATAATGCTTAATGGTTAAAATCACAATGATCATGGGGATTTCATGGGATATTCATGGGATAAATGAGGTTTCATGGGATATACCCGCAACGGTGGCATGAAGCATCCATGGCTAGAAAAAACATCATTTAGTTCGATGATTTTCCCAGCGAACTAAACCTCCATTCATAGAGGATTAGCCGATCAAAATCGCTTAGAAATGGAGGTTTAGTTCGCTGGGAACAGAATCAAACTCAATGGAGGACTAGCCCAAAAACTTCAGAAAACTCCTGAAACATGGAAACCTCAAATCCGGGTCCTGGGAAAAAGATCAGGTCCCTTTCATGAAACCATCAGGAGTCTGAAAAACACGGCAAATTGGATAATTCTGGGTAAATTATAATATTTCACTAACCTGAATCTTGCGGCCATTTGGGGATGATTTCCATAAAATAAACCATGATTTCCAGGGCTCGGGAGAACAGTGAGGTCGTTATGAAATTTACCCAGATAATTCTTCAAGTCGACCGGTCTGAACCCGTTGAGGTCGCTGCACATCATCCAGGCTTTCCCCATGAAAATGGCCAAAGAATAGGTGTAATTTCTCTACTTGTGGCCAAATCTAAGCATCATAGTGTTGGTTATATATATAATATATTATATACATATATATATAATATAATATACAATATATATATATTATAAATATTATATATATATATATTATATAATTATATATATATGTATTATATATATATATATATTCATGTCCCCTGATATCACATTGATAATAATGACAATATATTGGTATTCTTATGTCCATGACATCCCCAGCATATGATAACGATCTCTCCCGGCCAGTTGTCCCAGTTGGTTTCTTACGTTAACCGTTCACCGGGCGTCACCAAGACTTTCTGCAGCAACACGCCATCTTCTAACTCTTCCAAGGAAAGCTCCTCCGGCTCCTGAGTTGGTCAGGGGATCATGCCACTGAGATGCCATTCACCGTGGTTTATCACCACGACAACTAAACACCGACAGTTAAAAATCACAAAGCTGGTGAGATCTGGAAGAACAAAGTATTTTTCACCAGAGTCGCTGTGGGAATTTGGGACTTGAAGAACTATGAGTTGAAGATTTGAAGACTGGGCATCTAGTCTTGACAAGGATAGACTCCATGAAATTGATCCACTGGCTAACTATCAATTTCATCATCCCAGCAACCCCCAGCAACCCATCCATTCCCTACGTTTAGCACCAGTAAGACACTGCAGGGTGAAAATCTGGAAGTTTCTTGTAGAGTGTGTAGAGCAGGTTTACCACGTCAATTCCCCTTCTGCAGTTCAAACATCCAAGTGGGCTAAACATTACCCTGCAGTGGGAATAACCAGAAATGTTGGCCCTTCGACACAAAACGAACTCTTTCAACTCATTGAAACCAACCCTTCACCAACCATTAGAAGCAAAAATTTAGTCTTGTCAGTCTGAACATTTAAAGCCAAAAAATAAATTTTCAAAAAACAAATACGCTCCCCACAAACCAATAATGTCATCATTTACCTGTTCTTAAAGGGGTTTCTTCAAACCCCTCTATTAATCAACCAACCAATGGGAAAAGGACATCTATCGCCTTCTCGTCCAGCTGGTTGCGCGCGACCTACGGCAGTGAACCAAAGCATGTCTTTGATAAAGCATGTTCTACCCGACACAAACCAAGAGAAAACCAAAAGGAATCTGGGTCTAGTTTGATACATGTACTGTATATATATATATAATGTGCGTGTGTGTGTATATATATATCGCTAGGGGGCTGACGTTTGCCCGAAATCCACGGAATTCCATGCGGGACTGCAATCTGCTGTGTTGTTTCTGTGCGTGGTTTTTCGCACACTGTGAGCATGCAAAATATTGATATTACGCTTACCTAAGACGGTGCCAAAATCTCCTTTTGAAGCGTATCTTAAAGATATCCGCCGTAATTTGCAGTGTTTCGAGCCGTTAACTGAGACCTCAACAAACTCAAGACTTTGAAAGAACACTAAAATAACCTAACCCTAAATAAACCCGAAATAAACCCTAAACAAACCCTAAATCAAACATAAATAACCCTAGATAGACCCTTACTAAAACAAGCGTTAGCAAACCCTAAAACAACCCTAAATAGCACGAACACCAATTAAACAAACCCTAAATAAACCCAAAATAAAATCTAAACCAACCGTAAGCAAACCTGAACAAATCACAACGTAACTATACCCCAATGAGACTTTGGGCGACCGTCCACCCCAGAGGAAAAAAAACTATATATATATATACACCAATATACATACATATACATAAACATGGAAGACTTTTGGGGGAAGTTTGGAATAGAAGTGGGGTTCGTCCATGGTTGATCATCAGATATACTTCCCCATGATCATCGGCCAACAGGACCTCAAAATCATGGGCGATCTGCGGCACTCGGACGCATCATTTATGGTGACGTCGTTGGTCCGGTTGCTATGCATGATCTACTAATTTCTATCCTCGCGTGATCGTTTCATCGGATTGATCATCGTGAGATACAGTAGGCTTCGGAAGCAATGCTTGGATGCGTGTCACAATATTTCATAATAACCAATCATGGAACCATTATAATAACCATAATACCATTCTGGAGAATTATGAACCGATTATGAACCAATATCAATATTTCATAATTCTGGAACCAATCTTCATATCGGTGCCATTTAATATATTTAATATATTTAATTCATTCCACTCTGAAAGCCACCGGCCCATCCCGGCCCATCCCGGCCCGGCCAGGCGACCTTCAAGCCAGCCATGGCCACCACTTCATCCAGGATGGGCTTGGCCTTTTCCCGAGGAGACGGTGTGGTCGGGATCAAGATCATCTGGGTAAATGAAATAATATGGGGATGGGTCAAAACCTTGTACCCCTGTAGTTCACATCAAAATAGCTGGGATTTATGGATGTTCATCCCCCTAAAAATGGTATGTATAGGTATTGATCCATACCCATTTGGGGATGATTCCCCTAAAATCCTAACCATGATTTCCAGGGCTCGGGAGAACAGGGTTCGGTCGTGATGAAATTTACCCAGATCAATATCAATTCAGGAGAGATGTGTGGGGAATCATCATGATCTCATTGTCATCACGACATCACGATGGTCGTCTCATTGTCATCTGGTTGGTGCTTTACCTACCCCTCTGAAAAAAATGAGTTCGCCAGTTGGGATGACTATTCCATTCCCAATATGATGGGAAAGTCATTCAAAATTCCATGGTTCCAGTCACCACCAACCAGTCATGATCATGATCATCGAATGGGACATTTAGTGACATTTATGATTCTACTTACTTGGGTTTGTCTGAAAATAGGGTATATTCCCAATTATAGCCATTTAATAGGGATAATGATCAGCAAAACCATTGGGTAAAAAGGGGTACACTATTTTCAGACACACCCACTTGGTGATATTCTTATTGGAAAGGGAATTCTCGTTATGATTCCCACTGACATGATAACGTATGATGAGAATTGTGCGGTATGCTTTTCCCCTGTTGATGATTCGTCTGGGGGTTATATTCCCCTTTACATATTGGAAATTATCATACTTGGTGGCTCATCCCACTTAGTAAGTGGGTTATAACCTCAGTTATAAATGGGATAAGTAGGGTTAATCCACTGAAATCACTGGGGTTATAACCCACTTACTAAGTGGGATGAGCCACCAAGTAATTATTACCATCTGGTTATGACTAACATAGCCATGGAAAGATCCACCATTTTTAATAGGTAAACCATCTATTTCGATTAGGGCCATCTATACCATGGCGAACTGTTAAATAGCCAGAGGGTATTAGTTATAAGCTGGGAATCCTGTTCTCAACCGACCAATGAAATAGAGGCTTTGGACAAACTTATCATTCTCCACATGAGAGTCGAGCTTAGTTTCCAAACCACTTTCCAAACGTTGGAGGCACACCCAAAGTCCTAGACTCCTTGATTTGGCTGACTCCAGCGTGCTACTTTTTGTTCGATTGTGTATTATCGCCTTTTCAATGCCCAAACAACAAGGTTACACTTCGTTTGTGAGATTAAAGTAAGCCTTCGAAGTGCCTTCTTGATAATTTTCAGTCCTTCTATCCAGTGATATCACGTGATATTTCCATACATTTCCCATGTTCAAAAGGTTATGTTTTTTTCCCGTCATGTTTGCCGTAGAAAGCTGCCCCATCAATCTGCCCCCGCACACCTCAGAAACAGCAGGTGAAATTTCAGCATCGTCGACCTTGTGCACTGGGCTGGGCCAATTGCTTGCATTTTTTTTTTGCTTCACAAGTTCCCAAAAAAACATTTTTTTGGGGGAATTCAATGGAATCAACAAATCATCCAGGGATACGGTCACCAACGAACCGGACCTTTCCGAATTGATTTTTCACCCTCCGGTGTTTTCGGTTTCTGAAATTAGGCAAATCCATGGGACAGCTGCTGCCCCCAGTCCCCAAATTTCTGCCACACCTGGTCGGAGATCTCTGGCTCCTGGGCTGCATCGGCTGAAATAGGGGACCCGCCAAAGACGAGCACATGCATTAAAATCACATGTATAACTTGGTGGTTCATCCCACTTAGTAAGTGGGTTATAACCCCAGTGATTTCAGTGGATTAACCCTACAAAAATCCCATGTAAATCACTGGGGTTATAACCCACTTACTAAGTGGGATGAGCCAGCAAGTAACTATATATAATACACCATTTGTTAAGGGGGAAAACTGAATGATCAACCCTGCGATTGTAGAAATACCCCATTCTTGAAGCATGGCTGATTCATCATCTTCCAGGGTATCAAGGAGATTTTCAGACCATCCTGTGAACTACCCAGCAGGCAAACACACATATAAGTGGCAATCCCCATCTTGTTGTTAGCGGAACTCCACGATAGCGACCAACAGCAACGCTTCTCTGGGATATTTGTGGGATATTTGTCCAAAAGGTAGACCAGCTACTACATGTTCCCGTTGATCGTGTTACCCTCTGGGTATGTCAAAATAGCTATTGAACATGGCCCAGTCGAAATAGTGGATTTACCCATTAATAGCATGGTGGATCTTTCCATAGTTATGTAACAGTTTACCAGAGGGTACCCACACTTTTTTTTACCTTTCGAGAAAATCCCCAGCAACCCCTGAGATCTGGAGCGGCTCGCCGCTCCGACAACGATGCCATGCCATGGCAACGAATCACGGCATAAGTCGTTGAGGTTGATGGGACATGGTATGGCATTCGTTTGGGTTAAAACTTGTGTCATACCATGTCATACGTTTTTTTTGGCGTTTAGTGTTGCAGGATCTTCAATCCATACCGGTAATTTCACATAGCTAATAGTGAACATTTGATAGTTCAATTGCAGAATTATATTGTGGATTTACCTTTTGAAGATGGTGATTTTCCTTAGCTATCTTAGTTTACCAAAGGGCAATATTGTATAGCTAATATTTATTCCAATAAAACATTTCATATGGTTGATATAATACTTCATCGTTTACCCTCCAGTAAATTAACATAGACCCTGCCAGATAGGGGTTGAAAGATTAGTTTCCTCTAAAAAATTGGTGATTTTCAGGGTCAACAAGTTAATTTACCAGAGGGTAATTTATTAGAATTAATCATCTTGATTACCCTCTGGTAAACTAACATAGCTATTGAACATGGCCATTTATAGTGGATTTACCCATTAAAAATGGTGGATCTTTCCATAGTTATGTTAGTTTACCAGAGGGTAACCAACTGATCCCATTCCTGCCGAGCTTCGTCGATCCGCTCCACCTCGCCGGGCTCCCGAAGGTGGATTTCGCTAGCAATTCGGTACCCCCCAAGAAATGTGAGGTTATAAGATGAAAGAAAACACCAAGCAACTGGTAAATCTCATGTAAATCTCATGTAAATCTCATGTAAATCTAATCTAATTCCATAATCGTTTGTTGGTCATTTGGTGATGGGCCATCATGATTGAAACTACAGAAACGCTTTTTTGCGAAGGGGCTTCAGCTCGCGGCTGGGAGACTTTTGATGATTTGGTCTACCAGTCTACCATCTCCATCCTCTTCGGCTTCTTCCCAGAAGAACTCATGTCAAAGCACAGTCACAGGATGGTATTTGATTCTAGTATTGGTAAAACCATGGTAAAACCATGGTAAAACCATGGTAAACTTCACCACCAACAATAAATGGTGGATTCTAGTATTTGATGGTATTTGAATACCTCCCAGAATATATCTGGTTGGTGGTTAACCTACCCCTCTGAAAAATATGACTTCGTCAGTTGGGATGATGAAATTCCCAATAGATGCAAAAATAAAATTCATGTTCCAAACCACCAACCAGATAATTATATTAATCAGTGATTATCATAATTAACCACTATTAACCATTATTAACCACCAACCAGATATGTTCATAAAATCACCAGCATCAATGTAGTTCTGCCCCTCCTCTTGGCTCTCAGCGTCATCTTCAAGCGACATGTGGGTCGTTCATCCGAGCCGCTTGGCCATGTCGTGGTTACCCTGAAAAACGTTTAGATGTGGTTTACACCAATGGGGAACGCCTATGAAAATAGTTTACCAATCGTAGATGTTCCACATTGTTCCACATCTCTGTTAGTTTACTGGAGGCTATTGGTGTTCTTTTGGCTTTTTTGGCATCCTAAAGGCGATATCACAGCACCAAATCATAACGGGAATATACCGTATTAACAACTCCTACTTTTGTGGTATCCTGGTATCCCAGGGGTTCCCAGGGGTCATGGATCAAGTCCCAATCATAAACCACTGCCATTTGATTAGCTCAGTTCATGTGGCTGCTGCTCATTCTGCGATCTTTGAAGGATCATTTCTGGCGATTTCTGCCAATCAGGTCATGTAAGCTGAGCCGAGAAAGAAACGGCAGCAGTGAAACATCAGTGATAGAAATTTGGGGCTGGTCAACCACTGTGAAAAACTCACCAGAAAGTGATGTTTCAAATGTTTCAAACCAACCAGAGTCGGAAATATCTAGGTCCCTATTTTCGGGTGCACATGAACATCGAACTGAGAATTTCGGTCTGTAGCTGTCAAAATGGCTTGATGGGTGAGGACCCATGTCCTAATCATTCATAGCTGGTGCCACTATGCATTTCGAGTATGGTTTCATGTCGCATTGTAGCAACATTGTACATATTGTACATATTCTGTGGACAACACTCCGTGTCTTGATATTGGGAACCAGATCTGCGGTTTTTCGTCTTCAGCGACACATCCATTGTCGGTACAATGTCTCTAGAGATCGCTGCTGCTTGCGATAAGCAACTTATGGTCGCTGGAGAACAATGTAAACACATGTAAAATCAACCTATGGTCGCTGGAAACGGTTCATTTATGAATAAATTTGGATTTGTCTCAGAATTCAATATATCAACTTCCCAATGATTGATGGTCATTTTCCGGTGTGAAGCCACCACTCGTTCACAAACCCATCATAGTGCTGGTCATATATCGGCAATACATCCCAATAATGTTTGGTATTTATACCGATTTATAGCCCTATTATGCCCTATTCTTGTTGGTCACACCACCCCTTTTTTTTGCGCGAAATAGAAAACTGGTTGGCACGTAAACGTGCCTCCATTCGACAACCTTCATCCATTGAGCTTTCTGGGGTAATCCATCAATCTCCGTTTTTCATGGCAAAATACCTGAGTGATAGTAGGATTTTCTATAGGAATTAAGAATCGTAAAAAACCATCTCAATACCATGACATGTAGCCGTTCACTTAAGTATTTAAGTGGTATTTCTTGGTGAATCCAGCGAAATAAGCCATCTCAAGCGTCTACGGTTTCTCCCTGTTTCTCCGGTGCGTCCGTGCCTCGTAGACGGTTTCTTGTGCCACCGCGGTCTCATGGAGGCTGATATCCATGGAGGCCACTTCCTGCCTTGGAGTTGGATGGTTAGCCAACCAGAAGTTCCAGCGAAAATCAATCCCGGTAGGGATATCCATGGGGATATATATACATATGTACATATATATATATATATACACATGTACATGGGTACTTTATAGCGTGTTTCACCGCCCCCACCCAGTGGTTTCAAGTATTCTATATGTGCACGTTTCAGAGATGTTGTGCACGTGTCAGAGATGTTATGCACGCTTCCCAGCAGTTGTGCACGTTTCACAGAAGTTGTGCACGTGTCACAAGCCCCCTAATAACGTTCGTGTTCAACCACTGAGCGCGTTCTCATCGGCAAAAGCATTGGGGCGACCAAACATGTTCTACCGATATACATGTATATATATATATATACATAAATATTGTATATGCATCCTCAGTTGATGAACGATTGATGGTTTGTGGGATCACACCTAGGAAGTTCCCATTGGGAATAGCTATGTGGATATTCATGGGGGATTGGGCCATGTTCCATGGCTACATTACTGGAGGGTATCACCAGTGAAGGGGAACAAACAGTATGACACACACCATGTTTTTTTTTTTCGGGTCAAATCAGGATGGTGTGTTTGCGGTTGTCAGGTAGATGTCTCCCTGCAGGTGGGTTGCTGGTCGAATAAACATTATCCAGTCACCTGACTGAAGAAGTCCTGCTGGTCCCTATTTGCCATTTTGACCTTCCAGTAAACACCAGCTGGGTTTAACATTCCAAGCTTTGGCCCAAGTGGCGCCACTTGGAAGGCCTTGTCGGGTCTTGACAGCTCCAGGTGCAACCTAAATACGTGGCTTTCGGCGCGACGTTTCACTGGTCAATGGATTGGTTTTCACGGGGAAATTGACAGGAAAACTCCAATAACTATGGTTTATGATACTTATAAGTTATAAGTTATAACTATAGTTAATGGGATTTATAAACCAACAAACATCACTGGAAAGCCACATGATCTTAATGGGAAAAACCTATGGTTTCCGGTTAAGATTTTCCCATTGAAAACCAATCCATTGAACTTGACAATACAATCGGGGGATATGATCTATGTATTCCTGTATTCCATCCCTGGTTCATATTGAAGACCTTCTTTCTATGGTCCCAAATATGTATGTAGATCCCCTAACGTTTTACCATTTCTTGTTGGAGGTGGTCCAACAAAGAAGGGTATGTTAAAATTTGGGGATTTAACCAATAAGAACCGGATTCAACTAACAATAGTTGAGAACCAGTGAGGGTTGGGTATAAGTAAAGCCCAAACAGGGATGACGCATAGGAACCAAACTGCCCCAAGGGCACCTCAAGGAATTGATGGTTGATCGCTTTCACCGGCATAGATTGCCAGATCTTTGGGTATCCCGGTATCCAATTTTTGGGGCCCCCGTTCGATAGCTAAGTTGGTGCAAATAACTCCAATAACTATGGTCTATGATACTTATAACTAGAGTTAATGGGATTTATAAACCAACAAACATCACTAGGGGGCCCCACATTGTAGGTTTTTTGGACCCAAATTGAAGTTGCTAGGTACATCAACCCTGGCAATCAACTTCCAAGGAACTGT